ATAACTTAAAAACGCGTACTATTTACAAATAGCATAGCACCACACAAACATTGTTTGCCAGGTGTTTACCGAAAAGCAAGCGCAAAGCAACTCATGCCGTCGCCTCGCGCAGGACATTTGTTCGCATGCGTGTAGTAATTTTGGAGTCCGTGCACAGTTCGCATACGCACACACCCATTTATTTTATATGCCCGACTACAGCCGCAGGATGGCCTTCGGGTGTCGGCTCCCGCGCTAATCGTTGTCGTCAGTATTCGGGTATAATCGGCAGTGTTCGTTGCCTATAAATCCACCCAATTACAATAGTCAGAAATATAATGAATCATGTATGCGGATTATGAATTTTGAATATGGTAAGGTTTTATTTGTTTAATTAGCAGATACGTTTCTTGTTCGCGGGGGCCATATTGATTTTTTCATGTGATAAGCATTGTTTACTATTTTCTTTCCGCCAGTATAATTATAGTTTTATTTGAAAGTGTGTACATTTAACAGTGTGTACATTACTGAGTTCCGTTGATTTTTTTTAAATTTTATTTGATTGTGAGGTATGTGTGGAAAATTTGTGTATAATTTAAATTAAAAATAACAAGTTCTCACAATTGTCATTCAATGAAAAGATTAAAATTGTGTCTAAAGGTCTGTAACTATCACTCACTTGGATAAGATATTTGAGGTGGCCGAAATCTTGCGTTTATTTACATTGGGATAAAGTAATCTCAAGTAACCTTAACCTTGAATATGTGAATATCAGAAAATTGAAGATGACCAGGTGAGTAGTTATAATATTTTAGCTTATTATTTTACTTATTAGAATTTCCTCTGCCGCGATCTATCGCAGTTTTGTCAGTGTTCCCGTTGAAGATGTACATGAATAGTAGTACATCTAAGACTTGTTCTGTTGGCATGGTTTCCGACTTAGAGATCCATCGCGTGGCTGTGGCTAAGCTAAAAATCTATAAAAGAAAAAGTTTTTGTGACCGACTACTCTGCCGCATACCTAGTGTCATAATCCTGTGCACGCCGCTGGTGGGTGTTGTAAGAGCCGACTAAGGGACCAAACTACGCAGGACAAAAGCACTGCAAAGAGAAGGAAAACTTGACACAACATACACTCTTCTTGCATACACATCTATAAACGCCATATTATACAAATGTATCGCAATACAAACGCATTTGTGTCTTGTAACCCTGTTATATCACAGGCCTTTATATTGACGTCCTGTGGGCCGGCTTTTATCGGCCACAAAACAGCATTAGGCCTGTACATACTTGTCTATCTACAAGCAAGTGTTATCAATATTTGTTTAAATTTTGCTCGTGATTTTATCATCATGATCTTCACGACTCCCAGTACCGCCATTGTTATGATAGAGTTCATAAACTAAAATTCAATAACAATTCCGTACAAAACTAGGAGGTTTATACTTTATACTATTAATAAGGAATTATAACATGACTATACTAGGAGTTTTCCGTGTGGTGACGGATTAGGAATCCAGATCACCACGCCTGTTCATCCCGACGGTGTAGTAAGAGCCGATTAATCGAGCAAAAGTAAGTAAGGAAGTAAATTCCTCGAAAATAATCGCCGATGTCTGCCGCTCTACAAAAGTGCATAACGTTAAATAAGTTAACGTAAACGTAAACGTTAATACTATAAAACTTATGAAATACTAAGTATACCCAAAAAATTCAAATACTCCCGACTTAAAAGTGCAATAAATCAGAAATGATCTAGTTATTTCAATGTGAGCGTCTCGAAACTCCCTAATAGAAAAAAAATACAGCTTGGTTATCAATCCCCGGCTTGTCTTATTAAGTTCTGCGTAGCAGTTCATTTTGATTTTTTAGGAAACAAGTCTTTTCGGGGCTACCTATCCGTTTCCGGCTTGACGTGATTTCTTATTGATCTCAATACTTAAACTCGGTTTTGACATTACGAAGTTGTTTGATGATATACGAGATAAAAATCAAATGTCAATCAAACAATTTGTTTTTTGCATTTTTCACATGATCGCACTCAAGAAGACATAAGAAATATTGGAAAAGATAATCTTAGTGATAATACAGAGTATATAATAATCATAGCGATAAATCAAATTATTATTTTATTTATTTATTTATTTATTTATCAACTTTATGCACATAAGTACAATGGCGGACTTAATGCCATAGGCATTCTCTACCAGTCTACCTTAGGGTGGTGTGGAAATGAGTGTGGAGGTGCACTACCCTTTGGTTGAGAATTATAAAGTGGACATAAAAGAAGTAATGATAGCAATACTGAGCAAAAAGCAATGAAATAATATATAAATACCAACGTATACATACAAGAATACATACATTCATATTCATATAAATTGTTTTATATATATACACATACATATATACCATAATATATAAGGTATCATATTTGTGATGATTCCTCTACATTCCGGTCAAGAAGAGCCCACACCTTCGCCCTAAACGAATTACGACTGGTCGCCATTCTGATATCCTGGGGCAGAGCATTCCATAGAAGTACAGATTGAGTGAGGAAGGAAGAATGAACAGGATATTGTCAACCATAACAGGGTTTTCGAGCTGTAAATGACACAATATCTGACATATTGCCGTTAGTTCCAAAACCATCACTAGATGGCGCTGCTCCAACTATGAACGAGCGAGCAAGAATTTCTATACATATAACCTCATATAACATGTAGCATGTTTTTCATAGCTGTAGAAACAAGATAATCAATAAAGTGTTGTTCTCGCCAGAAGAATTTTATTTATAATACTCGGAATTTTTGGGACTTGTCCAAAGGGATAGGCACGACATAGGCATTCTAAATAACCATCTTCGGCATGCATAGGACATCTAAACTGAAGTGATACTACAGCCTCATGGAAAATCGGTGTTAAACAATGCTTTTCACTGAGCGAATCCGGAGTCAAAAGAACGCAAAAGGCGGCAACGCACTTATGACTTCTGAATCGCACCTGTCCGTACCGTATCGGTGGCCGAACTTACGTTGACCCGTCCGCTCGTTTGCTCTGCTGTACCATAAAAATCGCCATGTTTATTTTAAGATCCACCCTTTGGAAGAAATCACCAAATACTTTGCTCATCTTTCATTTTGGAAGATAACCAGGGTGGGTTATGCTATGGCCACGACATCATTAACAAACCAATGAAAGGCAACTGATGTATTCGCTTACCATATTGATGGTGATCTCCGGCTTATCTATGTCTAATATCGGGTCAGGGAGCAATTTTGAAAAACGCATTGCACAATAAAACAGAACGTGAAAACAGATGTACAATGGCCTAGTAATAGACCTGGATGAGTAGACACTCATCCAGGTCCATTACTAGGCTTAAATAGACCTTGTTGAGTGCCTACTCATCCAGGTCTATTACCAGAAAGGTGGCTAGTTCATTATGGTTCATAGAAAAGTTCATTACAAAGAGTTACCCCTCCTTTAAAATTAGCCAGCCAGCCCTTGTGTTTTAGAGCTTTATTGTCCATACACAAATTACCCCATTTTCAGCTCGTCGTCGCTTACTCAATCATCAGCCTATCGCCGTCCACAGCTCTCGAAGGCGTCTCCCAGGGAGCGTCAACCATCCCAGTCTTGGGCAGTCCGCATCCATCCAATGAGGAAAATGGCTAAGTCGTCGGTCCAACGTACCGCAGGGCCCCCTACACTACGTTTGCCTATTTTCTTGATCAGCTTTGATCAATAGTGAAATGAGTTTTGTTAGTAGTTGATTTACTGGTATTTTGTGCGCTTTAGCGGGTTCTTCTACTCACACGTTTAGAACAGATAGTATTAATTTACGGCGGCGGCGTCATCCCCTCTGACAAGATTGGAAAAAAATGCTGATTTTACAAATAATGTATCTCCTTACTATCTAATATTAAAAGCCGTTAATTTCATTACTTTTACTATTGGTACGCTTAACACATACAGAAAAATAAGCCTTACGCGTAAGTTAACCTTGAAACAATGAATAATTTTGAAAATGTACTTTGAACTAATTGTAACAATATGAATATTCTTTGTATGCTTACATAGCATACTTAGAAATAGTATTTGACTAAGGTTTTTCACCTAAGCGGTCAAAGAACTAACACAAATATTAGTTATATATCGGTTTTGTTTTGAAATTTTCTTAGCAATAAAGACTTGTAAAGTGTGTCCCTTTGTGATATTGATGACATAAAAGTTGTTCAGGACATTACTAGTGCACGACATGTTTGTTTCAGCTGTTGTTTAGAGTACAGAAGATAATAAAATGATTAAATACATAAGTTACTAAACCCTTGGTCACGAAACCTGTCTAAGAGTAAGTTATTAAATGTCAAATTAAAAAGTTAGCAGTTTCAGCCGGCAAACATAATTTGATGAACCGTGGTTAAAGGTCGGCAACAACGACTTTGTTTCATTAATTTCTTTATCTTTTTATATAATTTTGAATTTCTTATGAAAAACAATCTGAAAATCATCAAAAAAACTGTCAGTTTTAATAAATGTCTCGACTCTTGCACATTTTGGTACCAGCGACCATCAGTCCGTATGAAGAGATGAAAAAGTTATCTTGTTTTTCCTATTTTCTTAATATGCATAGACTGCTAGAACTTGTTCTTTTTTTAAATTATATTTTCAAGTGAGGATTTTTTTATTAGGATATAATAATTTAGCAAATTTTATAGCACACGTAATAAATTAGACCAATTTCCCAAGATTGTTTCCAAGAATCGTTATTGTTATACTTTAGAATAGTAGTACCTTATAAATAGGTTTGGAATAGTACATATTGCAAAATATTTTTTTCGGAAAGCAAAATCTTCCTACACAGTTCCACTAAAATACTCGTAGAGATCTATATAGATAGGGTCATGTAGATAGTATATCGCTAATTATATTGTTTTTGATAAGACATTTTATATCTATAGTTTATGATGCACTGAACTTAGATATTTTAGTGTATCATAAACATCGCTAGCAAAATGTGGTTTTATTCAATTTTAATTTTAACTATATCCAGTCAATATGTAACAGGTAAAATAATTTTATTTTAAAATAAGATGTCGCTTCTTTATATTTGTTTTCAAATGAGGTTAATTTTGAAAAAAATGGATTTGTCTGACACTTTTGCAGATAAGAAAAACCTAAAATATGCAGTTATTAAAGTATGTCTTAAATAACTGCATATTTCAGGGTGTGGAAGGACTTTGTGTTAGATGACAGTTTTTATTTAGTAGGTATCTTCGCAGACACATATTTATACAAGTAACATTAAAACCGTATAAATAGCTACATTATAACGTTTATAGAAACTTTTTATTATGACTATAACTTCTATAAACTACATTAAATAAATATATAAAACAAACAAATATAAATACATAAATAAATTAATAAAACCACTTGACACTGCTTTTCTAATCCTATTCTTTTATGCCTCTCTAAACCTAAAATAACGGGGTTCGGACTCCAGGTCCGAACCCCGTTACGTAAAAATCAAATGAGGCGTATTTGTAAACACACTGACATATTTTACTTTAGAACGAGTGATTTATATATTACTATGTTCTAAACTATAACTGTGTCCTTTATAATTGTTAGGTCCTAATTTAAAGGTGATTCTTACAGGTCAATTCGGACCTTTTAGGCAAGACTTCGGGTATGTGGATGTAAGAACGGGAGCTCACATGTTTTACTGGCTATTTTATACTACTGCTGACGTTCCTAATTACACTGATAGGCCTTTAATAGTATGGCTGCAAGGAGGACCGGGTGGATCCTCTACAGGAATCGGTAACTTTGAGATTCTAGGACCTCTAGATCTGAGGCTACAAGAAAGAAATTACACTTGGGTGAGTCCTGGGTACCGTTATGAATTAATACATAATATATTCTGCCTCGGTGGTGCAATGGTAGCGTATGCGACTGCTGTGCTGAGGTCTCAGGTTCGATGCCCGGGTCCGACCAAATATTTGTATCTGCAAATATTTGTTTCGGATTTTGGCTGTTCTATGTATAATATGTATGTGTAAATAAATATTATACATAGAAAACAGCCAAATAAAAAGTATGCAAGTATTCTATCTGTCAATCCAATTTTCATAGTACAAGCTCCGCTTAGTTTGAAACTAGATGGCGTTGAATATTATTATTCTTGTGTTATAACATCGTTTTATATTGTTGACAAAGGTCCCTCGACGGAAACTAGTTGAGGCTCGCTGAAATACATACGTGATTATACCGTACATCTTTATAAATAAAAGTTTAGTTACATGATGTATTGTATACCATGGATAATATTGTTAAGTGAACTATTGTCAAATTGTCTTGAATTATAGCTAAGATTATTTTCAATCAAGTCAAAACCAAAAAAGGAGTTACTTTGCCATTGACAGACACTCAGTTTTGGGTAGGGAGTTAAAAAGCTAAATTGTTTCAAATGCCTTGGAACTAATTATGAAAATAAATCTGTGTATGATGAGAGGGCCATGAGATATTGACTACTTTCATCATGATTACTTAAGTTAATACTAGTACTGTTATTATTAAAAACTATTTAACGCTTTAATTGATTTCATCAAAGTAAATTGACTACCCTTTATTTTCTTCTTAAAAATCCTACAGCTCCCCCTTATCTCACTTCACGGCTTAAACCGCTATGCTCCAGCCATTCCAGAGATCTTCGGTCCACTAATAATCTTTTACTCCTGTGTCCAATACACACTTCTTCTCTTGTTCATTATTAATTTGCTTTCCAATCAATTCTACTATGGCATTCCACACTTGAGATCAGGATGTCAGCAAGTCGTGACACGTTCAAAGCTATAGTCCGAGAATTCTACAGGAAACAGCTCTTCAGCAGAAATATCCTCATGATTTCGTCACCTCAGACACTTTTGTATTTATTTTATTCCGTATATATAATATATTAATAGTTATTAATGTATTTTAAATAGTATTTTCGAATTAATGTTATATTTCAAATAAAATAATAAATAAATTATTTTACAGGTAAAGAACTTCAATGTACTTTTTGTAGACAATCCTGTAGGTACTGGTTATAGTTACGTCGATGACCTTAACTTGTTAACGACAACTAACGACGAAATAGGTAAGTAGTTGAGTTAATTGAATCTTAATCAGATAGTTCTCGTATAACTACTTACAATACAATATTGACCACCACAGCTCTGGACTTTGTGAATCTAATGAGGGGATTTTATTCTAAACATCCTGAATTTGGTGGCGTGCCCCTTTATATATATGGACAATCCTATGGAGGCAAAATGGCAGTTGGGATGGCTTTACGTATGCGTGAAGTAAGTAAATGTGTTTTCAGTTAAAGTATCAGAAGAATAATTCTAAAATAATAAAAAATATAAAATAAACGTTTGGTGACTTACTTGCACAAGGTTCTTGCTATTGCCCATTTTAACGTCACCGTCAGAAAGTAATAAAAAATAAAAATATTATGTGTCATATGAAAAGGAAACACCTCGACTAGGACCCTAACACACCTGTTTGTTTTAATTTCTTAAACCTGTCATTCTCTGCATACATCACTAAGTACTGAAGGAATGAAAATTGAAATTTAACCATATATTTAACCATCAAACTATTTAACCATCAAACTTTATATTATTATCTATTGCACATTAAATTATTTATAACTTTTAAGTTATACATGTTCAAAAATAGACCAAATTTACTAATAATAGTTTGATGGGCATGCGGTAGTGTTACATTACACTTTAGCTAGGCCGAGCAAATTACCATAAACAGTCTCTCAATATCTGTTTCAATATTATTTAGGCAGAAAAAGCTGGTACCATTCAATCCAACCTAAGAGGCATCGCAATGGGCAACGCATGGATACATCCAGTCGATCTTACTCTGTCTTGGGGACCATTGCTATTAGCAGCTGGTCTCGTAGATCAAACGGGATACGAAAATATTCAAACAGCAGCCAGAGAGGCTCAACGTTTATTTAATAACGGCGAATACTACGCCTCTACCGCGCAGTGGGCTAATACACAACAAGCAGTATTCAGAGGTACAACTAGAGTAGATTTCTACAATATTTTGACAAAGATGGAGGTTCAGTCTTGGATGCCTGATACAAGGAGTGCTTATGGTGAGTACACAATATGTTAAGAAACACGACATTCATACTAATATTTTTATCAAACTAGGTGTCCCTCGCACTTTCGTCTGCGTCTCTGAAAAGAAACAAATTTGCCCCGTTTTAGCAACATTTTTCATTCACGCTCAGCTCCTATTGACCCTAGCCTTTCTCGCTAAATGTGCTATCCATCACTAAAAGAATTTTTCAATTCGGACCAGTAGTACTGGAGATTACACCGAATATACAAACTCAAAATTTTTGCCTCTTTTTAATATTAGTATAGATGAACACATAATATGTAATATAATATAATAATAATATTGTACCACATTCACACAACGCCATCTAGTCCCAAACTAAGCAGAGCTTGTACTATGGGTAATAGATAACTGATATAAATACATATATACTTTTTTTTTGTAAATACATACTTATTATACATAGAAACACCCAGACCAAATCAAACATTAAATGTTCATGCACACAAATGTTTGACTTGAGCGAAAAACAATACAATATTTTTTTGCCAAATACGAATATAGGTAATGTTGCGTGTTGTGGTTCGATATTTACACTACTTAGACTTTATTTACCAACACACTTAAATAAATCTAATCAATATTTAGTGGCTCCAAAATGGTCCCCGCAGTCGCCGGGTCTTCTGCTTGCTCGGTCGAACAGTTCAGTTTGAGCTACAGAGCGATAAACTTCGAAGTGATCTCACTTCAAAGTTTATCGGCGAAGATATTTATATGAGTATAGCAAAAGGTTCATAGTCCGTACCATCCTGCGCAATTTCGTGGTTATTGGAAGGATCGTAATAGTAGTAGAAGTATAGTAGGTATTTGTAATACCTGCTATAGGATTGCGAATGTTACTGCTGACACGAATATTTTAGGCAGAATCCAGAAACGAAGTTATAGCCAACATTCAGCCTAAGCATTTAATTTTTAGAATTATCAAAGGAGATGATGATCCAGAATGAGCCTTACATGTCATCATCATGGTCGACACGACAAGAAGTGATGAATATTAACTATCTTATGAACAATGACGTGAAACGAGCTCTAAGTATTCCAGAAACTGTGATCTGGGGCAGTCAATCAGGCGCCGTATTTGACTACTTGCGGACTGACTTCATGAAACCAGTTACGGAGGAAAGTTAGTATTGAATCATAAAGAATCTATTACGTGTTTCGATGCTCTAATAGCAAAGATCGTGATAATAGTTATAACTAAATATTGTTTCAGTTGAAGAACTATTGGATCAGGAAGACCCTATTATCGTGACAAAATACAACGGGAATCTGGATTTGATTTGTTCAACACCAGGTTGGTTCACCATTTATACAACACTTGACACTATTTTTTTCGTCTATTTGTCTTATTTACTTTTACATTTCAAACATTTTAATATTTCGGTGTTTGAGGTAAAAAAACAGTCATATAGTATAGAAAAAATCTTGAAGATTTATAAAACGTAGATGCTTAAATGCTTATTGGGTTACAAAATATTCTGCGCTATGCTATATCCTACGCGCTACGTGTTATGCTACACACGAAGAGAAGAGAGTGAAAAAGTATAAAAGTCCTTTTTTAATGTTAGAACTTTAAAACTCTATCTTCGATGTCCTTTTATGTAACTGTGTTTGTATAACTGTTTTCACAAAAATAATTAAAACGTTAAGATATTAATTCTCAAACGGTTCGTTAAGTTCGTTTTGTTAAGGTTTTGAGGTGTCATTTAAGATTATATCAATAAAATATAAGTATCCAAGCTAAAAAGCTTAAAAAAATTATAAGTATCCAAGCTATAAATAGTTTAATATTTTTATTTTCACACAATACAGTCACTAGATATAGAAATTTAATGAAAGTGTATGAGTATATTTATTTTGTATTTTACTGACACAAATACACATTTAATTTATTGTTTGGAAAGCTTACAGACTAAAATAACTTTGTATATGATAAAAATGACACATCTTTTGCTTTATACAAACTTCTACACAATCACAATTGCAAGAATATTTATTACTGTGCCTTAGCTAAGTAAAGATAGCTAATACAATAGTAAATGATGTTGTAACGGCCTGTAATGTAATTGTACCTACTGAATATTTTTTTCAAGGCGACTATCATGAATAGGGCTACATTTATCCTTAATTTTGTACCCTTTTTCCCTTTTATAACAATAAAAACTGTTAGGTTGTGAGTTGGCTAGCTTACAGATTACCTATAACTGTAACAAAGAGGTTAGGAATTGTTTTGCGAAACTGTACTTATTAAGATGCTCTCTGCTCAAGATATCTTATTGTTATCGACTTAGATAAAATAGGTCAACCAAACTGAGAGCGAAGATTATTGAAAATAGTTTCGCTTTGAGAAAGAAATATATATTAGATATATAGTTTACTAAGGTCAGTGGCATGTCCAGTAATGGTATTTGTTTTAATCCACCTTGAGAGACCTTAGGGTTTATCTGTGAGAGAAGTTGCAAAGAAAAAAATTGTCCATTAGCAATTTACTTATGCTTCGTGATGTCGTTCATTTATCGACGTATTTCTGAAGTATCTGAGGTATCTTTGGCAACGAATTATGTACATAGTCGTTTAAAAATTGCCTGATATAAAATCCAAGTTACATAGAAAGTTTTCCTAGACAATATTACTTTTTAAATTTTCGAAAATTGCTTCGGTATGTTTCGATGTTACTTTCAGTATAACATTTTCACAACATTAAATATTTTCACAAGATTTTTTGCTATGTATTCAGCGTCGGAGAAAGTGAAATCTCTATATAGGATTTGATGTAGATGAAAACTTATCATCATCATCATCATAAACAGCCTTTAATAGTCCACTGCTGGACATAGGCCTCTCCTTAGAAAGGAGGTTATGAAAACTTATAGTGTTTCAGACTCAGTGTGACACCACAAATTATGACTGAAAAAGTGTTTTGCCTATCCGCGTTAACTTTTACCGGCAACAACTAAAATTGTACTTGCATAATGCTTTCACTATATACTCACACTTTTCAGTAATAACTCTCTTCTCTATCTCAAAGTTTTGCTTTGAGCTGTTACTGGACCCCGTTCAAGATTCCTTATATCATTATTGAATTTGATTCTGAAAATGCCGTGACCATCTATAAAACTCGTTAAAAGTTGTCACTGTACTTTAGACGGACACAAACAGTTTCCAATTATAAAAAAATGTGAAGGAACACTACTCGAGCCAGTAGATGATGGATTAAGAAAAAAGAGTGTCACCCCCTCCCCACCCCTCCTTATTCAACCCGTGAGTGTCGTAAGACCCGACAAAGAGATTAGACTACGCAGAAACAGCACTGAAAAAAGTTTGTTTCAAGTTTTCCTTAAACTTGACTCAAACCCTATACCAACCAGTCTGCCAACGTGGTATAGTAGTCGAAAACCTCCGTTGTAAGGCTCTCCTTAGGCCTATAGGCCCCTGCCTATGTCCAGCAGTGGACTGTTAAAGACTGTTGATGATTATGATGACTACTCGAGCTGCTGATTGGTTTCTTGATACCATGCAACTTTTACGTGTGCATATTTATTATCTATTCACATATATGTCTTTATCTAAATGCTGACTATGACGGTGATCATAATATAAATTATTTATTTATTTAATTTTACAGATGGAAAACTTATAGCTAAATACATAGTTATACTATACATATATATACTATATATATACTATGGTTGTATATACATCGGTATATACCACCGTAGTCCAATTGTAAAGTTTGCATTTACAGTTATTAAAGTGAATTAAGTCCAAATGAGGAAAATAAAACAACCAAGTAATTCTATTATCTACATATATATGACTATTGATACTAATTTTATATTTATTATATGCAAGAAATTTTATAACTAGTACATTTCTACTACTTAAAATATTAACAACTCAGACACCTCCTTGCCGAAAACACTAAATAATATACATTAATAAATAATAATATCTATAATTTTAATATTATAAATGTGTCACGTATATGAAAATTGTTTTATATACACAAGGTATGAATTTTCACTTGCGATGAATAATAATAATAAAGTGTTATATACCTATCTTTTACCGTATTTTTTTTTAATATTTTTTTCACTTATACTTAAATACGAGTATCATCGACATAACAGTAAAACCGTTGGCGATTATGGGATTTAAGATATTATAGATTAAAAGTCAGTAGATTAAAAATCAGTAGTTAAATATGAAATCTATGAAAAAAACTGCATAAGTAATTGTCCAGCAAGTTTCATTTACATGAGCTAAAGTCCGTGACTTCCTTGACCGTCCTTAATAGGTAAACACACTCAACATTATTAACCTTGAAGAGGATCAGGCGAAGCAAACAAGTATGTTTTAAAATACAAACTTTGCAACTTCTGTTCACAATCTTGGGGGTGACCTTTTCAAAAATATTTTCTCATTGGGTGCTTGCATTATATAAAAATAGGTCTCCCGAATTTCTCGTCTGGATCTGTATGACCAGTGGCTTAGTCCGTGCATTGATCCAAGAGGCAGTCAGACAGACAAAGCCTGTAATATTATATATTTCATTATTTTACCTTTTTTTTTTCCGTGCGGAAATCCCCTCGGATACCACCTATCGGTGGCATGTCGGACTCGAACCGACTTAAACCGCACGCCGTCTCGGGTACTATTAGCCGGGGAACCAGGTATACCCTAGAAAGGAAGTCCCTGGTGCCCCGACATACCTCGGGCCATCTACAGACGAGTAGACGACCCCCCCCCCCCCGTGTGGGAACCCCATGTTCCCTCTGCTCTCTGGAAGCGAGCGCGCTTCGCAACGCGCTCGCCGCCACCCCGGCCTGCTTCTGCTAGGGTGACAGATGGCCTCACCTGTCACCCCTTGGCCTGTGCTTATGGAGGACGGAGGTCGTTCTGCGACCTCCGGCGCCTGAGTCGCCTGCGGTACCTAGCCCGTTCCCGGGCCTGGCGGGCCGGGCGACTTCTAAACCTCTCCCGGTCCCGCTCCACCGTCTCCTTCGCGAGCATAACTTGCTCGCAGAAGGAGAGGGCAGAGTTCCACGCACTCTCGCTCCGCACGATAGCCGCAATCAGGCTATCGAGCGAGAGAACTCCCACTCCGATGGCCGCCACGAGGTCTCGCCTCTGCTCAACCTACGCCGGGCACTCTGTCAGCGTGTGGAGAGCCGTGTCCACGGTCTGGCCATCGCAGTGGTGGCACTCAGGCGGATCAGACACAAGTGATCCCCGAAACATCCTTTCCCAGTGATCACCTGTGTCAGTCGGTATGAGAGAGTCCCGTGACGCCTCTCGAGCCAATCCTCCATAACGGGTCTTACCGCCGCGATGACGGCGTGCCCGGCGCTCGGTTGCCCGAGTAGTTCCCTCCACTCCCCTATCTCGGGACAATGACCCAACTCCCGCGCCTCCTTGCGCCACTGATACAGAGCCGCAAGGGCTCTCGCCTCCAGGTCCCACGGTGGAGTTCCGGCCAGGAGACTCGCCGCCTCAAAGGAGATCGTGCGGTACCCCTTATGATCCTGATGGCCAGCACTCGCTGCGGTCGTCGCAGTATCGCGACGTTGCTGGCCTTCAGGGCCCCCGCCCATACTGGGCACCCGTAAAGGGCCATGGACCGCACAACCCCCGAGTAGAGTCACCTAAACACTTACAAAACTAGAACTTTTGAGTTCTACAAATTTTAAATTTTGAGTTGTTGGTCCGAGTGCAGTTGTTTTACATTTTTTATACTCTCTTATACTCCTCAGCAGACAAAGTAGTTGATAAAAACAATGATTATAATAATTTGTGTTGATGTTATAGTTAATATATTTTATTATTAAATTCAATTCATAAAATTCAACAGTTACAGTAGAAAATGCATAAATATATGGTATTGCTAAAATTCTATTGTTATATATACAATTATACAGAATAAATAATAAGTTATTGTTATATATAATTATTATTATGGCCTATGTCCAGCAGTGATCGTCTTTCGGCTGGGATGATGATACGAGTATACTGTAAATGATTTGAAAATGTTATCTTTAGGTCGCCGAAAGAAAAATATTACAAACCATAAAATAGTTCACATAACCTTAAAATTTCAGGTCAGATTGTGTGGGTTAATCGATTAAAGTGGCACGGTGCAGAGGCATACAAAAACGCATCCCGTATTCCCATTTGGGAAGACAATAGGTTAGAAGGATACTACCAGTCTTACGGGCCGCTAAGATTCTTTTGGATAAACGTAGCCGGACATAGTGTGAGTATTACGACATACCTCTCCTGTCAACTCGATTTTACTGTCACATATTACACAATAAGATTTTCATATACAATTAGATTTGTATCCACTCTTGATAGACATCTGTCAATCAGGTTATATATTAACTGCATCTATGAAGTGGTAGAAACCAATCAAACAACAACTGATACTTCGATAATCGAAGGGACATGAGACGTCAATTTGGTAAAGTAAGTTAATAGGACTTAAGTATTTGTCAGTACTATACAAGAACCGTATGAAATAGGATACGACTATCTAATGGGGACCAGTGACTTTTTTCCTATTTCTTTCTAGCCGTTACTCTTATTGAGTACAGTAAACACTTTTCTTTATGGTGTTTCTCCTTTGGTAGCCTTTTTAAATAGTGTTTATATTTGCAGGTACCAAGGGACAATCCGGCAGGATCAAACGCATTTCTTCGTGACATGACGTCTTTCGGCTAATATAATTGTCTTGTGAATTAAAATATTTTTTACTTTAGGGTGTTTTTTTAAATCTTATGCGCCTATTAGTCTAAAACATAAAATGATTTAATTATCTCAGACTGAAAAGTTAAGACTAAAACATTACATGGGTACATGTATGTTCCTAATGATCCGCGAATAAACCATACATACCATACATACTCAAAATACCATATCATATACAAAGTACAAGGTACAAGACTAAGTGTTCAGACGTAGAAAATTTGTGCTACCCACCATTAGGTACCCTGTCGTTCGGTAGGGTTGAATCAATTAACTAGTAGTACTACTATGTCAAGGTGCTGGCCATGGATCCTTATAATATATGGTAATTACTTGATTTAAATTATCTAATCAGTTATAAATAAGTCTTTTCTGAAAAAAAAAGTACTATCATTACTCACGTTCTTTCTGAACCATATAACATAAAAGTAGGATTATTACCTATATTATTTTTTTGCTTTATCTTTGCCACATTGCATATAATTTTAAGAATTAAAGGCTGACTATGGACTCCAGAGGCAAGGAGAACCATCTCATATCGGGGGTAAAATTGAAAAAATGCCCAGCTGTATACTGAAAATAGAGATCGCTGGAGTATGAAAAACTACGATATGAACATAGCTGTTGTAGACGAAGTGAAGTGTGCTGAGTTCAAATATTACCTATAATATTTTTACTGTCTGAAAGTTATTACACGTTTATTTATTGACTATAAACTCATTGTCTATTTTCGCAGTCTAGTACACAGTATCTAACCTAGGCTACCCTTATTGGACGCGTTTTTACACATGCACAGAGATGGTTCTCCTTGCTTCTACCCTCCATAAGCCTAGCTTAAAACTGTGAAATAAAAAAGTTATTACAAGTTATTAAACATACACAAACAACCTTCAACTATGCGTATTTCATTTATTTCTCTATAGATAAAATTGAAATATAAACTACGTATCACCAAAAATAAATAGTGTTAGTTCTTTTATCACTAAACTTTAGGCATAGGTATAATATTTCAGGAATGAAAGCATTTTATTTAATAAGTAATAACTGTTATAACTATGTAGATCACTTTACGACCTATATTTTACAAATGATTATCTTCAGACTATGAACTCTCAAGATATGTTACAGTTATCGATAATCCACTATGTAGTGAAATACCGCCACAACATATCAATTTAATAAATTTTTGAAGTCTGGGTACTACTAGAAGTACATATACATAGGTATATAATTGTAGTATTACCTATGTAAACACTATAGTTCGGCCATTAAATAGTCTAATTTCAAATCAACATATTAGATAATAAATCAACAGTATTAGTTGATATCAGTCGTTTTAATGGATAATCTGCTATTAATGAAATATCGAATAATACCGAGGAATTGTGAAAGTGTGCCTACATTTCACAAGACATGTCAGTGAAGCAATCAATTACTGATAAATGAAACTATAATGATTAAGGTATTACATACATTGGATCCTGATAATTGATAAAATATTCGTACTATCGAAACATATATAATGAATTGTAAAGATAATTTTATCTTTATGCTCTGAATTATAAAAAAAAATATCAATAAAATGCAAACCTTCTATATACTATCAATAGATAGAACTTCAAGTCAAGTACGTGTTTACTTATGTAAAGAGGGAGAAATAAGAACGGCTACTGTTTACTTGGAATAAAGCAAAATGCGAAAAACAATAAAAATAGGAGCAAGTGTTATCCTGTTGATTGTGGCTGCCGGGTTAGGTGTACTAATATGGTGGTTGGTGACTCGTGGCGATGGAGATGAACCTTACACAGTTATCCGTAAGTAAAAAAGGAGTTCGGTAAAAGGAGGGTATGGAGGACACCATAGTCACAGTGCTAGCTTTGATGATTTCTCGAATGCCTTTAATACCGTTAGTCATGACGTTCTACTGGCCATCCTTTCCTATCTTATGATCTCCTCAGAAGCTCTGGAATCGTTTTCCTCCTATCTTCAAGGACGACAAAAGAGTGTTCGTATTGATGACTTGTCGTCGAGTAGGTGTTATCCTGTATATTATCTCCCTTATTATTCTCAATATTCATAAGTCTCATAACCTAACACCTTCAGTGTACGTATCACCAGTACGCTCATGACTTACAAGTGAACACACAGTCAAAGGTTGAGGACATATTGTACGCCATCGACAAAGACAACAAAGACTTGAACTTTATAAAGAGCTGGTCAACGAGGTTTGGTCGGTAAATCAAACCAAATGTCAAGTGATCGTGAGGTGCAAAAAAAAATGATCAGTAAGGTTTATATGGCGGTCATCCCACCAGTTGTCTACAACAATCTGATTATACCTTTTAGTGCAGTGGTAAAGAACCTGGGGTTATACTCGTATATCGACTCGACACTTGACTGGCGGGCACAAGTTACACACGTCAGCCAGAAAATCACCACATGACTCCGCGCTTTATATCGTTTGAAAAACTTCCTTATTCTTCCTTAATTATTCCCTTAATCGACTATGGTTATGTGTGTCAGTTTTTGTGTGTAGTTTACTGGTCATATACAGAATTGAAGGAACGTATATGACCAGTAGGTACATAACCAATAATACGAGTAGAAAACCATTTTGTAGTAAGGGCACTAAATTCCAATAATATAATTAGATAATAAATCGCGGTTGATTTGCTTTCATTCTTTGAAGAGTTGTCTGTCTCGTTGTCTGTCTCTAAAACTCACCACCAGATCTATATTAAATTTAAATGTGACCATTTCGGCATAAACTCATTTCGATCAAAATAGAAGTTAGAAAACCCGTCTATGTATGACTGAGTTATGCCCGAAAATACATTAAAAAAAAACATCCTAATTGATAACCTCCTCCTTTTTTAGGTCGGTTTAAAACAAACACACTTCCTCAATACTATAATGTGAGTACATGTCTCCGTGTGCACATTATAACGTTGACATTGAAGTTATTACCACAAACCCATTACAGTTGTTATAAAAATGAGTTTAATTATCTGGCAATTTAATTTGCTTTGGACGTGAATTTTTTACTATTGGCAATTATTTAATCGTAGCTAAAGTATCAACAGATATTTCAGTCAGAAATAGGCTCAGTACATGATAGCTAAAATGTTTTAAAATATTCGTACGCATTTTTTAGTGTATTGTAGGTACTATGGAAATAGTAAGGTGATAATTCCGTATGTGCATGTCAGAGTCTAAGACTTATCTCATAATCATACCCATTTTTTTCTAAAATCAAGAATAAAGACAACAAAAATTTACAAATTGTACTCTATTGTGATTCTGACTGGCCCGACCAAGTATTTACCTATGTTATTCAATTCATAACACTCTCCTATCGAGTTTTTGTGTATGTAGTTAACTAGACGGTAATTATTTATATTTGCAAGCGATATCATATAATATTTTTGGTACAAAGTAAAAATTTTGTGAATATCTGATTCCAGACTCGTAGTCACCAATATCTGAGTTCAGAAATTCTAATGACTTTTTCAGTGAATAGTTTACAGATTGAAAGTGATCCCACAATGGAAAATAAATGTAACTTTATGAAAAAAGCAAAGTTTCTTTGTGTACACTGTATTTATTTTTATTTTACTTTATTTATTTATCAAAAATAGACTCAAATACATCTTGTTTACAAATAATATTTCAAGAATATTACAACTAAAATAATCTGGCCACATGTAAACAATATTAGGTTCTTGACTCCCAAACTAGGTTTATCACCTGTGACTTGGGAGCCAGTGTTCCTCCATTATTACGTGGATATTTGCTCAAGCGTCTATAGGAGTCACTCAATTGTGAACTTCTGCATATATGTGTTCCTTTTTTGTAACATCTTATTTAGGTGAAGAATTGTATACTAAAAGATATACTGACCAACAAAGATAATTTTAATAAAAGATATCTTAGTTGTTTGTTACCATCTGTGTGAATATGTATGTGTACGTGCAGGCATTGAGTATGAGTGTGTGTATGTGCGTGTGTGTGTGTGTGTGTGTGTGTGTGTATTCTATGAAGGGAAAAGAAATAGCTTTTCTATTTCCTCATAGTTTTGTTCAATCAACCATGTTTTAACTTTATTTTCACACTGATGAAAGTTGAGGCTGAGTAGTAGTTTGAAGTAGTTTATTTATCTTACTGTATATTTTTTTACTAAGGAAGTAGAACTGGTGTTTTGCAAAGGTAGTAAAGTGTCTTGTGGGAGAGAAAACTATATCCGCTCGACGTTTTTTGGCTATTTCTGTTGGGATGTGGTGTGTTTTTACTATACTTTGAAGCACATATAACTTCCTGACCGTCAGCACTTCACACTACCTGTAGAGCCTCTCAGTGGGATATCTGTATGGCTTGCGAAACATGACTTTGAGCACGGCTCTTTGTGCTCTTTCGAGTTTAAGGAAGTAGGTGTTACAGGCCCCACCACAAACTGGCAAACAATAGGTAAGCAAAGACTGACAGAGTGAGAAGTATACTACCATAAGAGTACTCGAGTCACATGAATATCGCAACTTTTTGAAAATGTAGATTACTTTGCGTATTCTAGAAACCAAATATTATTTATAACTTTTCGAAAACGTGGTTATTTATTTCAAAAATATCGGGAATAAAAAAAAATGTACATCAATATTTCGATGGCCGCCTTGTAACACGTATTGTGTAACAATTTTTTTTAACAACCATTTACGAGGAATATTATAATTATTTGCTTCAGAATTAGAGGGTCCAGGATATGGTAGTTCACCATACAGCGCAGCGTACACAAGAATAAACAATGTAGGAGAAGTCTTTTGGTGGTTTTACCCTTCATTAGCGTTCGCACCTCTGACTCGTCCATTAGTAGTGTGGCTAGATGGAGTGACGGGTGTCCCACCTAGTCTTTTAGCCAACCTGGGAATGATTGGGCCTCATGATATTAATCTTCAAACAAGGACCAACTCTTGGGTAAGTACTCCCCAATAAGCAAAGCAGATGAGCAGTAAATAATAAAAAATAAAATAAATACTGTAGTATCAAATATCTTCGGAAGGTTTAATATCCTCAATCGAGTGTTATACCGGCTTAATGCCTATAGTGATTATTAAGCCTAGGAGAAGTCTCAAGTTATAGTCAAAATAAATAATAATTAATAATTATATACTTATCTTTATATTTTAAATGAACTATCAATTATGACACTTTTTGCCTCGCACAAACAAACTCTGGAACAAGTTATTATCTGCGGTATTTCGGGACCGATACGACCTTCAAGAAAAGAGCCTACTCCTTCCTCAAAGGTCGGTAACGTCCTTGTTACTCCTGAGTTGCAGGCGTTCATGGGCGGTGGTAGTTGCTTTCCATCAGATGGCCCGGGTGCTCGTTAGCCCACTCTTCTTTAAAAAATTTACTAATATTACCGAGTTTAAGGGAAAAGTATCGGTCATCTTATTACTACATTGATTTCCTTTTCAGGTTAACTCATGTAGCTTACTGTTCATAGATGCGCCGGTGGGTACTGGATTTAGTACTCCATTAGATAACAGTACCATTCCTAAGACTGTAGATGAAAACGGTAAGATATTCAAATATTATGAATAATTTTTTTTTTAAAAACCAGAGCTTTACTTTTACACGTATGAAGTAAAATCTAATAACTAATACAAAACTAATCTATTTTAGTTTTGATTGCTACTATTTTTTTAGGTGATAATATTATATGTTAATCTAATTTAAAATTGATAAGTTGATAAATTATAATACCAATCTCATTTTTTGTAGTTGAACATTTGCTTACTGTCTTGGAATCCTTTTATTCTGTAAACGTTGCTTATAGAGGCGCACCATTATATATTTTTGGCCAAGCGGATGGAGCGAAATCGGCTGCCGCACTTGCCATTAAACTCAATGAGCTCAAACAGGTTAGTTTCAAAACTACGTACAATAACTTTGTATTATAAGTTCTAAGCCTAGACGTTACATAAAAATATAAGACAGTTTAACCTGTTAATGGATAAAACTATTCTTTCTAACTGTGTGATCCTCGAACAAATTGTATCTTAACAATTGAAAATGTTATACACATTACTTATTTGTGAACAAAATGCTAATCAAAGCGCCGATTACAACTTACGGTGATGTGACAAAAAACTTAAAACTTTATAAAAGAGCCCTTTTCCGTTGCAAATCTATTCTTCAATTTTAAGTCCACATCATTTATTTGATAACATCACAATGACTGACTCATACTACATACCAGCATCTCAAGTAAGCTAGGACTGGTACCTACTTTTTGTACTTCTGTGCCAAATATCTTTGTTCTCTCATATTCCTTTACTAGACCAGGAGATAGATAATGTATATCTCGCGTACTCCTGGCACAGGATAAATACGAATGAGCTCAACCCTATTGGACTTCTGTTTCTCAGCTCGAAGTGCACTAAAGCGTTTTGTGACTTTCATTGATATTAGTACGACATTACGCCACAATACTTTAATACACTAGTTTTCTGTCTGTTCTGTTGCAAGTCTTGTCTAGATCTCCTAGTGACAGATTTTCTTTATTCGAATCGTGTTTGTCTATCACAACTCAATTGTAGAATTGCTGTAGGACGGTTGAATAGCCATCAATGGTGTTCTATGTCCGGGAATAAACCTAGTACATATTTCATTTCATACATTTTATAATACATTGTTTTGTATTTTAGGCGAGAACTGAATCTGATATTGAACCGATCAACATTCAAGGTATTGCAATAGGCAATGGTATAATTTCTCCAGCTACAGTTATGCAGAGACTAGGATTTTATCTTGATGAGCTCGGTTACCTAAACGATAATGGCCGAAGCGCCATAGAAGCTTTAGCTCAAGAAACAAACACGCTTGTCAATAGTGGAAACTTTGAAGAAGCTTTCGATAACTTCCTTTCACTGGGCACGTTCGTTAATGAAAATGCAGGTGCTGTTGCTGTCGACCTCAAATACATTGTTGATAAGCTTACACGAGAGTCTTTACAGAACACAGGTATCTTTTGTGCTTATGATTTATTTTCTACAACTTGCTTGATTACTCATTATTGTCATTGCTACACATTAAAGATAGATTTTACCCTACTGTATGTAAATACCGATGTAGTAGTTAAATTTCAATACCAACTTTTATTACTTACTAATCTTACTAGTATATTTACTAGTACGTATACTATTCAATTTCAATTATTTTTTCTATTTAAATTTAATAGAACGTATTACAAATATCAATGATACCGTTCGGCGCAGTAAGATTACTTCTATAAATTATAATATCTTCCATATAATAAGAAGTTGCACTAATGTTTCAGACTTATTCGGCCAAAGAAGTTACATTGATAGAATATTCATTAAAAATTCTTTCGACTACATGAATAGTGTAGTAGCACAAGCTTTAGGTATAACTTCATCTGTAAGCTATGATGCAAACCGAGATGCTGTGATCGAAGCCGCCAGAAGTTCCTTCATGAAACCATTTACTAACCAAAGTAAGACCTTTTAACTATATTTTTTAACACAATGACCATTCTTTGGCTCTGTCCGATGAGTGTTCGTTGACGATAGAAATCACATTTTAACTACCATTAAAGATTTAAAAAAATTAAGGAATTAGTAATAAAGGTTTAATGGATTGGTGAACCCAGATGAGTCTTTTTAAATAGCAGGTACGAGGAAGAACTATTTAGTTTATGGAAATAGAATTACAATATTAAACAACAACCAAATAAATTTTGTTAGAATATTTACTAACACCACGATTTATTAAAAAAAAATTGGTTTAAGAAGACAGTTTCTTGATTACAATATCTCTAACTAACTGCCTTTTTTTTAAATTGTTTTACAGTTGAATACATCCTTCAGAACACGACTCTCCACATTACAATCTATAATGGTAACTTAGACGCAGTTTCAAACACACCAGGTACGAAATATATAATTAACTAGCTGCATCCTACCTCATTACGCTGTGGCACAATGTGGTTGGATTGATGAGAAATGAGGAACAAAAGTGAAGCGAAAAATAGATAAACACCTTATTTAAAGCGTATTGTATATCGTGTCAAAAGAGGTCAATCGGTGCAAAACTTTTTGAGTTTTTTAAGACGTACACAAACCAACTTAACTTTTTTATGTTATGTATATTATATTTGTAATGATATACTTAGTTTACGAAGTAGGAAATTGAACTCAAATTCAAATTACCTACCTATTTTTAAAAATAGAATGGTGACATCACATTACATTGAAGCTAATAGCATAGAGTATTAGTACTTAAAGTTTTATTTATCCTATTCTGTGGTTCAACTTATGATCAGGAAGAGACTGCACTATTAATGATTGTAAAATTAATCATTGTCAGAATTTTTTGTTTGGGAACAATTTTTATGATTCGAAGACGTAGCTTGTTATAAAAACCATCGTGTTAACTGCAATACTAATAATAAACAGTACAAGTTATTAATGCAATCTATATTTAATTTATTCCAGGACAATTAGATTGGGTTGAGAATCTTCAGTGGAATGGGCAAAATGAATTCAGAAATAGTGATAGAAATACATTAGTTGTAGAAAGATTAATAGAAGGTTATTTCCGGGCAACGCCGAGACTGAAATTCTTTTGGGTAAATGCTGCTGGACAATCGGTAGGAAATCAATTTGTTATTTTTTTTAGAAACGTTGTATTACGCAGGTACAATTTCCTTATATGTCATTAAAACCGTAAAAACATATAGAATTATTTACGACTACCAACCATAGCGTATGTTGATCCATTGCTACGTGTTAGATAGTGAAACCAACATTTTAAATGATTACTTAAGAAAGTGTTATAATTTATTATTTGTACTATTTTACATATATTATTTTTTGTACTTTAACCCTCTAACTTTGGATATTTTGTACGTATAAAAGTTAATTATATTCTACTTGCTTGAACTGCGTAAATACCTTTATACCTATGTTTATTTTTATATTACAGGCACCACTTGATAATCCCGCGGCAATGCTAAGATTTTTACCAATGATGATCGGAATAGAATAAAGTTTAGATACAACATAGGCATTCTTCTCTTGTAAGTTGTTACAATAAAATAAACGAAATGCAGTTAATTGCAGTTTCAATGTTTATTCCTACTTAAACCGTCCCTCAATCCATTTCCTTCTTCTGGTACTATATATAAATAGCCACGTGTAGTGTGTAGTAAGGAAGAAAGGAAGGAAGTAAGGAAGTGTAAGTTTGTCAAACTAAGTTAACAAAAACGTCAATGAACACGTACCAATTATGACGTATTTTCTACTCAAAAGCAAACCAAGATGAAATCCGGCCTGAGTGTATTGTTTTAATATTGTTACTCAAGTTTCTACGCAAATAAATACCAACGGGTAAATAAAGAGCAGACACATAAACTATCGACAACAAACACTGGAGAAGGCAACAACAATAAACAGTGGACTATAGAAATGTAATTAAAAAAGAGGATCTAATCTAATGTTTTTTTGTTGTTGTCTCAAGTCAATACTCAATGTGCGGAAATTACTGGGACTTTTAATAAACAAATGCACCAGTCCCGTGGTCACGTGTTTTTACTTCAGTATTTCTTTGATATGGTGTGAATTACGCTCTTTTTTGCACGTATCAAAAGTTAGGGTGTACAGTTGAGTTGAGACCTTATAATTAATACAAATTGCGTAGGCGCTTCAAAACTCGGTCTAGTTGCAACCTCTATCGTATCGTTTCTAACCGAGCTTTTTTTACTCTACTCATCCGTAACTATTAGTTATTGTGCAATCGCTATACACATGGTTTCGCACCTCTTTTCTATTTGCTATATTATTTAAAAACATTTTATCATTATCATTGTAAGAGGTTTTTTAATATTTTACCGGTGTTAAGCAATTCTTTCGTTGGCTTTTCATCAAATAGTTGAGAAAATACAAAATCTCTCATAGAAGCCTGTGGACGCCCCAAGAGGCTTCTGTGCTTCATAAAGGACTGTTTTTAAATCTAAATGTGTAAACTGAAGCGCACTACCATAACCAATACTCCCGCTGGTTTGCTAAAGAGGATTGGCTCTTAAGTAATTTAATTAGTTAGTTAGTTAGTAACTGAGTGGTCTCCGGTCCGCCGACTGCTTTGCCCTGCTGGGTGATAGAAATTTTTTAAGCAAAAATCTATCTAATTAAAAATTATACTATAATCAAGTTCAAGATATCACATCAACAGCCTTTAATAGTCCACTGCTGGACATAGGCCTCTCCTTAGAAGAAGGTTTTGGCCTTTGATATACCACTATATTTATTTTGAACTTGACTATAGTATGATTTTTAATTAGGTAGACCAACCAAAGTAACAGAATAGTATTGTAATACTATTCTGTTACTTTGGTGGTAAAGTTAATAAATAAAATGTAGTACTCTGTGAGCCGATTTATTAACTTTATATGTGTTGTATCGCTTCCACTTAAAGGCAGCTGTACCCCGTGATCTCTCTATGGTTATATCTCTATGGTGGTATCTGATTCCGAATTACTAATTTAAATGACAGTGCAGTTTTGTTTGGATATAAGATATTGAAATACGTAAGCATGACTTAAGTGTATATATTCTGAAAATGCCACCAATTATAAATGCAGGCTACTCATTAGCGTGTCCCTTATTTTTTAAAGTTTTAAATTTCTAACGCATAGGTCTTAGTTTTGTTCATTTGCCTCTAAAACCCTCAGAAATATTTTTTTACCTTACTTGGAGAACGATAACCCGTACCGAATTGCATCGTTCATACATGTTGCGCGGTAGTAGTAGCGGTGCGTTTTCGCGGTATTTGTCATTTGTTCTCAATTATTCTCGAGATTAACACATATTGTTTTACATTTAAAAGATGGCAGTGGAATTAAGAAGCAATAAAAAAAGTATTTTCTTAGTTGGTGACGTAAATTATCAAATAGCATAACGCTGATGCTTTGAAACGGATGAAAATTGATGAAGATAAAATATTTTTACAAAAACAAAGAGAACCAGGGCGTCCAGGATATTTTGCGGGTGCAGACAAAGAGTAAGCCGACAAAAAGAAAGGGCAAGACAAAGAAAATTAAATGAAGAGAAAAAGAGACACAAGCAAATGTGTTGCGGAGGTTTATCGTCATCTCTTACTACGCAAGATTCTATACAAACGCAAGGACATCACGATCAACTTACCAGCTTAGATGAAAGCCTTGATTAAAAAACCCTTAACCCTTGCCATCCACCTTTCAAATGGTAAGTTCTGAAACTACTACAAAAAGAGAAAGGAAAGACTTTATCAGCGTCGCAGCTTTAGATAGATGTCAATTAAGCATAAGGGATTCTGTCTATATACTTCAGGCTATATTAGAAGCACTAGATCTTAGCCGTGATGATTTGCCGATAAACAAATCGTCCATTCAACACATTAGCACACAGAGTCGAAAAGATAGAGTGGAATCTATACAATCAGATATTTAGAATAATATGTCTGAAATGGTGACCGTTCATTGTGATGGGAAATTATTTATCACTTTTTGATAAGTTAATAAAAAAACCAAGACGAACATTGCACTGAACTCACAAAGAGAGAGTTTGTATGATTCTGGGAAGAGATACATTCTATCTGAAGAAATGTCTGATTATATGTATGCTAAGTAGGAATACAATAAATACTTAGTACTATTTTTTATATTGTTTTTAATAAATAAATAATAATACTACCTTTTTTATTGTTGCAGGAAAATCATTAAGTTATTTTGATTCTGTCAAGAGCACATATTTATTTTCTCGATTGAAAATTGATAAGAATTTCCTCCACAGACCCGTTTCTACATGGGATGAAGATGTTGCCTATTTAAAGGAAAAAAGAACACGCTTTCTTTAAGGGCAGTTAATGATACAGCTGAAAGAGCTGTAAAGCTTATACAAGATTTTCATGGTTTAATCACTGCAAAGGAAGAGTAAAAGCAATTTTTGCTACGCTGTATTCAGGAGCATAGAAATGTATTTCCAGACTGTAAAAAAGAGGCCCTCACGAGACTATATCCTGCCAGATCTGTAATTTTATCTTCTTTTAATAAATATTATATAAAATGTAAACATTTTAATTGATTTAGTTACACAACGGAATGGGTTAAAAACAGCAATTTTCAAAATCTTCAGAGTTCTGTCGGTAAGGGTTAATGTAGACGTAGGAAGATAAAAAAAAATTGTTGGTCGGTTTTAGTCGGTCCGATTCCGACACACCACCGCGCTGTAACCCCGGTGGGGTGACGGCCCGTGAGGATTTCCACACGTAAAAAAATTAATAGGAAGATAAAATTTTGTATTTAAGTAAGTCTGCGTAGTTTAAAAATAAATATAATAAATATAGTATGCACTTCGATATCTTATTAAAAATATGATCTAATGATAATTTTTTTTTACCCATCTAAGGGACATCCTACTACTCATGATAATAATCAATGCAAATTCGGAATAAAAAATTACTATACTTGATCATTCAGGATCCAACACTGTTTTAAATTTTGTTCGCGGCCAACCAAACCAAACATCATTTTAGCTAATACTAATATATAATACTAATAAAAAATCACTATAAAATATTATAATGAATCTGTTTTTTATGTGGCAATACTGGTCAAATGCTGTCTCTGCTGTCTGTGTTTTGTCTTTATATCGATCAATATCATTGTTTTTATCATATAAGTTTGTTTATGAACTTTATGATGCATAATCTCATAATTTTCATAAATCAGTGACTTGCTTGCAGTATTTATCTGGAATTAATTGTTACATTGCACATTCATGACTTAACTTAATAAGTAATAATCCACAAAACATTGTAATTTGTGAAAATTGATATCGCTGTGTTAAAGAACAATTTTTTAGTGTTAGTGCTGATAACTTAGTACAATGGCTGATATCCTTGATATTTTAGACATCGAACAGCCTACGGCTGAAATTAGCAGGGATAGTATTCTACATGGAGATAAGGTGAAGAAAAAATATGTGACGGCAAAAGCAGTGAAACGCCCTGAGGGCATGCACAGAGAAGTCTTTGCATTGCTTTACAATGATAATAAAGATCTACCGCCACTCCTACCCACCGACACAGGTAAGCTACATTAGAAACATCTGCCATAATACATAGCTTTTTATGTTTTCCTACCCAAAGCTTTAGAATGATGCCTTTACCAGTATACTTTACAAAAACTTTGTCATCGAAGATCTTTCTTCAAGAAGAGTTCTTGAATTACACTTATAATACATAGCTTTTTATGTTTTCCTACCCAAAGCTTTAGAATGATGCCTTTACCAGTATACTTTCCAAAAACTTTGTCATCGAAGATCTTTCTTCAAGAAGAGTTCTTGAATTACACTTTTTTTTTTCATCAGGCAAAGCCTATAAACAAACAAAGGCTAAGCTTGGCATGAGAAAAGTTAGAAAATGGACTTGGGCACCATTCACTAATCCAGCGCGTAAGGACAATGCTGTATTCCACCATTGGAAGCGAGTTTCTGATGAAGCGAAGGACTACCCATTTGCTCAATTTAATAAGGTGTGTTATCTTAGATTATATTTAATTTTGTGCTTAATATAGTGTGCTGCTTAATATTTGTGCCTAATCAATGGTTTTGATGTGATGGAGGATTCTTGCTGCATATGGGGGACATCTGTTGAACTGTTATCAACTAAATTTACCACCAAAATTTGCCATTATATTCTAAAAAAAAGGAAGAAGCTTATCGAAGGAACTGGATTGGCTCACATAGCCAATCTTACCTTGACATATAAAAGACAATTCTTGAGTCTAGCCTACTATAATACCATTCTACAAAAAACGAAAAAAATACTGTTTCTATGAAATAACTAGATTGTTTGACAAAATTTCGATGAACTAGTAAAACTTAGTGGCTTCATGGATTAGGTATATTATCTGTAATGATATGATGAACATAAGATTCTTATAAATATGTTTTTACTGCAGCAAGTCACAATACCATCATACTCTGAGTCTGAATACAACCAATACCTGAAATCGGAAGACTGGAGTCAAGCTGAGACAGATCACCTGATAGACTTGTGTCAAAGATTTGATCTGCGTTTTATTGTCATCCATGACCGATGGGACCGGGCAGCTTTCAGAGATAGAAGTGTTGAAGATCTAAAAGAGAGATATTATGGTATTTGTGCTACATTAAGTAAGGTAAATTAAAAAAATTGATACTTTTACATGTTACATCATTGAATTATAATGTACTACACACTATTATTTCAATGGGTTACATATTATTACATCACTATGAAGTTAAACTATTTTATAGGTGAAAACAAATCCCTGGTCAAATACAGTGACCATGGTGAATGGTGAAAAAAGAATTTATCACTATGATGCAGAACATGAAAAAAAAAGAAAAGAACAACTACGAAGACTCTTTGACAGGACACAAGAACAGGTAAAGGCATTTATTTTGGGTACATACCTATATAAAAATGTTATTTTTACAGGAAGGTTTTTATGTGTAAATTCCTTTATAAGTTATTGCTATTTAATATAAATTTGTTCCAACTGTTTTGAGTTGAGTGTTAATCTATCTTAGTGAACTGGCCATATGGAAATTGTATGTAGACTGAACAATCGTGTGAACTCGAATTAAAGAAATTTGACTGCAATAACAGAAAATAAAATGTTGTGTTCATAGTCAAAGCCAACTCAAAGTCTTCAAATATCCACATGACCTATCTTTACAGAACAGTAAGAAGCTTAAAAAGGATCGTAGTATTTAGGTGTCCTGCTATCTTTTGTTATAGATTAGCTTTCACAAGCATCCAAGTTTATTTTTATCCCATGAGAACAGTACTTTTTCGAAACCAACACAACATAGAACTCCTTATAAAAGCTAAAATAATACAGAAAACAAATTACCTTATAAAGAATCAATTAACCAATTCTCCTAATATTAGATTGATGAAGAACAAATGCTGCTCACTGAACTTAAGAAGATTGAAGCAAGAAAACGTGAAAGGGAAAGAAAAACTCAAGATTTACAAAAACTGATATCCCGGGCTGACAGTGGCAATTTACCAGCAACAACCCAAGTAAACAATAATAATGAAGGGACTAGTACTCCATCCAATAATGCGTCTAATATAGCTAGACGTCACGACAGAAAGCTACATAAGAAAAAACTCACAGCTCAGCAAAGGCCTATTCGCACAGTTGAAAGTGTTGTAAGTATCAATTTGTTTGCAAAGTAAAATCTTGTCTTTTCTATGTGTTGCTTACTCTATATTCCTGTTCCAGACTGTAGAATGGTCTGGTATTAAATTTCCCGAAGCACGTGGCACAGGCGTTTGGTTGCGTTCTCAACGTATGAAGCTGCCTCCTGGAGTTGGACAGAGGAAAACAAAGGCCATTGAACAAGAGCTCAGGCTTATGAATATAGGTATGTCGATTATTTTCTCCATAGCTTTTGTTAATTGAATTGGCAAAAATTGTTTTGAACAACAGTAAAAATGACCATGAAGTTAAGTTGCCATGACAAAATGAAACTAACTAAAAGCGTTGGAAACTCATTACTCAGTGATGGACTACCTTCACCTTTAAACAACTGTAGTCACTTTTCATCAGGCCACCAGCTGCTCAATTGCCCCTTTATCGACGACAGACGATCTGAGTCCTCATCAGTGATCCTTTCGAGAGCGTTATATGCGATCATATGAGACTCGCACTGAGAATCGTTGAACAGTGGTGTGTGACACACAACTTGACATTAAACACAACTGGCATTAAACATAACTCCTAAATTATTTCAAACACAACTGGCTCTTACCAAAGAGGTCAAATATCTAAGAGTTATACTAGACAGTAAATCCTGTGAAATAGGCAGCTTAAAGAGAAACCACACAAAGCCTGCATTGTCTTCTGTCAATGCAAACGGCTAGTCGGCAAAAGCTGGGGACTATCACTAAAGATTACACTATGGCTCTATTAAACAGACATACAACCAATAATCACGTACGGTGCCGTTGTCTGGTGGCAGAGAACAGAGCTAAGCACCGTCATAAATAGATTGCAGCGATTCCATCGACTCCCATGCTCCGCGGTCACTAGCTGTATGGCACAATCCCAACTGCCACACTAGAGGTGGCTCTTGTTCTGCCCCTACTGGACTTGTGGATCGAATGAATGGAACTGTCCGTGTAAATAATTTACACGGACGGTTCCAAGACTGAATCAGGAACTGGAGCCGGATTTTTCTCACAAGACCTAAACATTAACATATCACTAGCGTTAGGCCGTATACTGTCAGACAGCGTGGCCGCCCTAAAGGCGCTGGAGGGAAACACAATGACCTCTGGTATTGTTTTCGAATGAATCAAGCATTGTAACAGCTTGCCAAAACAAACGGGATACTCCTCCAATGAATTAAAAGACACAGTAATTCACACGGGAATGACACTGCAGATAAGTTGGCAAGGAGGGGCTTACCAACCCCAGCCACCGGGCCAACCACACTCCTGCCACTGCCCTTTAACCCACTTCGATCCTGGGCTATACAGCGTACTAGCAGACTAGACATCCGAATAGTTGTAGGAACCATAACAGGACACCTAGCCGTCACCTAGCCATCCTCTTTAAAGAGGATGCCTGAAAGGAGAAAAAACGGCCGCCCACGTAATCCTGGAATCCGAGGGAGTGACCACACAGCGGGCAAGTGCCATACCTATTACAAATTCGCTCCTAGAAGCCTGTGAACGCCCCAGGAGGCTTCTGCGCTTCTGGAAGGAGCTTGGTTGGCTCACCTAGACGCATGAAGGACCACTCTCAAGTCTAAATGCGGAAATTGGAGCCACAACCAATACCAATACTACCTTAACACTTTTAACGCTCCCCAGAGAAAAATAAGTATGTAGTGGTAAGATTCGAAACTCAAAATTAATGTCTTTAAGAGAACACATTGAAATGTGATTAGATTCTTGTATCTTAACAGTGATATAAAAGTAATTAATTAAGCTCAAACTTTTTTTACAGATATTGCTCCAACCCCGACCGAGGCTATCTGCAAACATTTTAACGAGCTACGTTCGGACCTAGCCCTGGCTCTCGACTTGAAGAATGCTTTGGCATCATGTGAATTCGAGCTTCAAGCTCTCAGACATCAATATGAAGCTCTCAATCCAGGAAAGGTGCATATTATAAATAATTCTTCTGCTTAGATAATGTACTTGCTATTTCCTGGACTTTAACCTTGCATCTACTGTCATATAAAACAACACATGATTTAAAACATATGTATATATTTTTATTGATTCCATAATATTTATGCAATCTCCATGCGCTTACAAGAATTTTACACCACCCAAAGGTTAACGGTATAGAATGCCCTAGGCGGCCTAGGCGGTAAGTCTGTCACAGTACAAGTTACGTTGTATAAATAGACGGCCTAAATTTGTATAAATAAAAAAAACTATAAAATATTTATAAAATCAATCAATCAATTAAAATTTGCTTTCAATGATAAAGTTGTAAGTAAAAGAAACCTTGCTATGATAAGACTAGAAATCCCTTTACAAAGGCAAGATATTATTAGATGCTTATTATTCAAAATATTATTTGTTTCAGACACTCACTATACCACCGTCTATTTGCAATTCGGTGGCTGACGGTGAATCCAAACCAGTGGGTGAAATTATCGACGTAGTGGGATCTCCGAGTGCTTTAAATACCACCATTTAGTATTATATCTTAATCAATAGAGTGAAATAAATTATGTTGAACAAGTGTTGAACATAGTGACTGTTTGTTCGTGTCTTTAATTGATATGACAAAAAATGAACTGTAAGTTGATAGAAATACTTAAAAAAAGATAGAAAGACTTAAAATTTATTAGTATAAGTCCATAATGTATAAATATAGGTAACTTATCTGTATGTAACTAATTGATTGTAGTAGCATACTGCCAGTTTAGATTGTGTCAAATAAATACCGATACCCTTACGTGATTAACTCTATTATAATCTAAACAAAAAAAATCGATTTTTTTGTTTAGATACACATGTGTGTGTGCATATCATATGTTAGCTGTATCTAATGGTTAAATAATAATAATTTTGTTAAATGGGTGTTTTACCTGAAGGTACCTTCTTTAGAGTTACATTATTCTTGTTGTATTTAAGTATCTATATTAGCGCACATAGATTTATACATGAGTCTCTGTTCAATTTTGGAGGGATTAGACTAGTGCAGCGGTTATGACACTTTTTTCCCCCAAGGACCACGTAAGGCATTTGTCCACTTACGGTACTTTTGATACTATACCATTGATACTATACTGTGTTTCACTTTACGCACTTAATTTAAGTACTGTACATCAAAGCGGCGTGTAAAAGGTAAAACGCATTAAAGCGTCATTCAATAACTTGATTGAGACGGCAAAGACGGCAAGCGTCCACCACACTTCATTTTTACGGACAAATAAAACTTGCCTAATGTTGATTTTCAGAGTCAGGAACATTTATAAGAGTCCTAATTTCGACTACTATAATCATACATTTAAGCATGAGACTGAGATATAGTCTAATTGAGCACGTTATATTTAAAAATTAATTGTATTGTCATCGGTCCTTGATAAGTGTGCGAAGTTTCAATTTTGAAGTGGGTCAAAATCACGTCCCAAGATTCCTTTACATACATAAGTACATACCAAGCTAATAAAAGCATGTTAAAAATAAGACTAGTACAAACTGATGGAAACGGTAGATGGGGCAAACGAGCAGACGGGTGATATGATAGTAAGAGGCTATCGCCACCCATGGACACCTGAAAATGCTTGCCGCCTTTTAAGTGCCCTCCCTGCCGAATTAAGGAGGGGTGGGGTTAGACTCCGGTTACCTCACTCACTTGATGAAAAACAACGAAAAAAATACCAGTTTTTCCGTAAGGCCGTGGTAGCACTCCGGTCGATACGGCCAAACTTTGCCAAACCATCGCTCTCCTATCCCTAAATACATTGTTGAATTAACCCTCTATAACTCAAGAACATAGATTTAAAAAAAAAAATGTGTACGGTTAATTAACAAAAAATAAAAATACACGTGTTTCATAATTTTTCATTTACTCAATTATTTTCCAAAAAAAATGGAAAAACAGGGAGCGTTGCCTGGGAGCAACACTGAGTCATAAGCTTAAAAACTATATATAGGTGGACGTTATGAAAGGTGGAAGTTTTTGAAGCAGTTCTTGGTTTTAGTATAGCACAACGCAACCCCGCATTTTTCGCATATATTGTGAGTAAATCCATTACACTTTGGGAACTTGCACCTAATTTTTTTATCAGACCATTGGGGCCAATGCCCAATCTGGTCTTGCCGTACTGCCATTGGAGGTGCATGCTGGGCAGGTCCTTTATGTTTTTTTGCTTGTATCTCGTTCTCCAGCGAACGGCGACTAGACATACTAGGCTTTATGCCCAATTTACATAGAGTTACTGCAACATCCAGACGAAAATCTGCTGACGATAAACGACATGAAAGGTCTTTGTCTCTAGAGACTCTTTTATAAAGCAACCATGCGTTTGCCATTGTGAGATCCAAGTAATGGTAGAACACACGTATTTGCCATCGTTTGCTACGCAACTGTATTTTGTAAATCCCCATGATGCTGTCGATTAGATCAACACCACCCATGTGGCGATTGTACTCTCCTACAACATTAGGTCGTTTTATATTCACGTACCTGGAATTTTGTTTGTCCCATCTGCGAACATCAGTTTCAGGCTGTATTCCAGCAAAAGTAGAAGCCAGAGTTACAATTTTATTGTCTTTCCATGCCACATTAGATATATCGGTGCCGTTGAAGTCAGCTACGTATTCTTCTGAATAACCTCTGGGTTTTTTCAACATCACCTTTTCTGGTAGCAACTTACAATCCGGGATTCTATTTCGTCTTATTGTACCAAGACTGTAAATGCCTTCTTTGGCCAAATATTCCAATAGACGAAGAGAGGTAAAATAATTGTCAAAATACAATTGGTAACTCTGGTGCCTTGGAATCATGCGCGCTAACCTCACGACGATGTTGGATGATGCACCCAAATCTGGCTCTTCTGGAAGCACAACGTTTTCCTTGCCAGTTTCAATTTCTGTTTTATAGGCGTAACCAGAAACGCCACTCAACACGTAGACTTTGTAGCCCCATTTGTGTGGTTTTTGAGGGTTGTATCGCTTCAACATATTCCGTGCTTTAGTGGAACACATTTGCTCGTCCACACAAAGGTGTTCTTCCAAAGGGACCTTCTTGTAAGCTGCATTCATCGACTCGACCAGTGGTCTTATTTTGAAAATTCTATCATGTTCAGGATCGTTCCTAGGGAGGTTTTTGCTGTTGTCATTGAAGTGTAAAGTTTGGCGCATTTTCTCAAATTTATTCAATGACATAGTATCCTGTATTATTTTTGTACCAAGTATTGAACTCCAGTGGTTAGTAACTCTAGGTAATCGAATAAGAGACATTAGATATACCATACCCATGAACTGCCTGATATCCATTTCTGTCACACGAAAAGTGCTGTTAGGATCATTCTGAACTTGATAAAGATTGGTCTCCTCTGAAATCATCTGAATAAGTTCTTGTGGAAAAAGGTAAAAGAAAAACTGAATAGGAGTTTCTAGCTCTAGAAGTTCAGTACCTAAGTTCTTGTTACCCTTGAACCTGAGCTGCTCGGCATTTAACTGTAGACTCTTCTTCTTCCAGCGTAAATTCGGTTTGGTGGGCTTCTTTGTAGTTTGATTGATTGATTGATTGCTCTGAGCTGATGAAGGTTGAGGAACGGTAACGTTTGATGCCGTTTCAGCGCTTTGAAGTGATGGAGGTGAGCTTTCATGATTATTTTCTAAGGTTTCTATAATAGAATCCACGTCGATATCGAATTCGGCAGTATTGTCTTCAAATGATTCTAATTGAGGTACAAAATCTGGGTCTGCGAGGCTGTCATCGTCAAAATCCAAACCGTCCTCACTGTCATCACAATTCTGCAGCACCGAGGTAATATGCTCGTCTAAAAGGGTTCGAAGAGGCCGCTTACGAGCTGCCCTGGAACATGATATAACGCCCGTGTGTACACACAAACTAATACAAAATAATACCCCTATCCGTCAATGTAGCCTACGAGCAACAAACACAAATTTTCAAAAATAAAACAAAATAATGAAAATAATTGTTATGAATAACGTAAAACATTAAATTTGATGCACTTACCTGTCCATGTTATCAAAATAAACCCTAAAAACACGAAAACCTTTTTTTTAAATACTTTTCAATTCGGAGCACGCGCGAACTTATTCAAACCACTAACAGCTATGTGAAAAAACTTCGACTTGTGACAGGTAACGACATCTAGTGAATTTTTTTAGTACTTATTCGTTACTTCTGTTTGTAAACTATGGTATACAGTGCAATATAATGTAAAAAAACTAATGGTATGAATTTGGTGGAAGGTCGAACGCTATGTTGCTTACAGTCTACATCATGATATAGAGGGTTAAATTATAATTATATCCATAAGTGAAATGAAACTTTGCTTATTCTCGTAATAAAGATTCAAGCCTCACGTCGTCACTTATTTAGATAACTATGTACTCCGCAAAATTTGTTTTGACGATCGCTGGATTAGACCTTGGCCATCACATCGACTGAAAGAAAAGCCCCTATACACTTAAAGGTATATGTCACACATCTTTTTTTTTTTGTTTTTTTCCGTTCGGAAATCCCCTCGGACACCACCTGTCGGTTGCTTCGCAACGCGCTCGCCGCCTCCCCGGCCTGCTTCTGCTAGGGTGACAGATGGCCTCACCTGTCACCCCCAGGCCTGCGCTTATGGAGGACGGAGGTCGTTCTGCGACCTCCGGCGCCTGAGTTGTATGTCACACACCTGTGTCACGGTACTATTATAATACAGTACTCCAACTTCATACAAACGGACGAAACGCGAGCTATACCTACGCGCCTCGATCTCGGGGTGCGCTCGGGGCGCAGACAGTCACGGCTGTACCGCAGTGTCGAACGGACGGTATGTTGTTTTTTTAACAATAACCGCGCGATTTTTTCTCTAAAAATCAATTAATATGACGAGTAGGAAATATTGTGCTGTTTTTGGATGTATGAATTCGTCAATAACGCATCCAGACATAAGTTTTTTTAAATTACCTAGAAACTCTGAAAGGTAAGACTATAAAATAATTTTACTTACTAGTAGGTACGTACATGTGTGTCTTTTTAATGGATGAGTATTTCCTTTTATCTCACGAAAAAAAAGGTGTTTGGATTAATAAATAAAGCGAATAGAGTAACGGAAAGTTATTGAGACGATTGAAATAGGTAGTTATATGCGGTTCTGAATGAATGGTAGGTATCTACCTACTTACGCTTGTGGTTAAACTTCGGTGCATGTGTGTTTGCATAATTCAAAGTAAAGACGTGGTATTTTATTATTAATAATATTTTTTTATTATCTGTGTGTATGAATAATACTAGAATTTTTTTTTTACCGTCTGTGTGTCATTAGATAGTTTTCGAAATTTTCACAGTGTTTCTGCTGCTACTATAACAACATATACCACTAAAAACTGGTTTTATTTTCTCGGTATTAACAACAACAGCTAGACTCATATATAATATTTAGATGTTTGAGGGTTGTGATTTTAAAACATTCGTGACTACGAATGTTTTAACGTCTGACGAAACGTCTACGAATGTTTTAACGTCTGAAGAAACAGCTGACGAGTAAGTAACTTTTTATCTCAGCTTATTAACGTCTCTATAAATTAGGTACCTACCTACAACTCGCAACAACTCAAAACAAAAATTCTTTGGTCAAAAAATTAATTAATTATTAAAAAGCTGAACAGCTGACTAGCTGCTAGAATTTTGCTGTTTCTTGCAATTCTAATTGAGTAGGTAGGTGTTGGAGTTTCTAAGGATTGGAGTTTTGTAACGCGTAAGGAGAAAGCACATTTTTATTATTCTATAGAAGGATTTTTAAGCTATTGCATAGCTTTTATCGCGGGCTCTGAGCGCGGCGCGGCGCGGTGACCGAATCAAGAAATTCTCAAAACCTAACGAAAAATACCTGTCACCACGCAGATTTTTTTCTTTAAAAAAAAAATGTTATGCAATAGCTTTACCGCGGCAGTCTCCGAGAGTGCCACATGTATTTTTTTTTCAGACGTCTTCAATGGTTGCAACTGATCCGGCGAGATGATTTGGAAAACAAACCTAACTTTAGTTCCTACCAAGTTTGTGAAAAACATTTTAATTTGAAGGATGTATTACATTCATCAAATAGAATACTTTTAAAAGAGAATCCCCTACCATTGTTGATGCCACCAAGCTTAGCTAGTACTGATCCAGGAGTCTCTCTAAAAGAAGATAAACAAACCCAAACTGCTCCGCTGGTAGGAAATGAAAATAGTACACAGACTGAAAATGCAACAAATGAAATCTTTGCTCAAACCTCAACGAGTCTCTCTAGCAACACTCCAAGAAAAAGAAAATTGAAACTTGAACTCCTCCAATGCAGAAAGAAAATAAAATAATTAAATCTACCAATCAAAAAACAACACGCATTTTTATTGAAAACTTCCTATTCAATATACAAAGTATTTCATTTATTTATATAAAAAGGATATTTACAATCACAAATCTAAATAGAAACAGAAAGTAGGCAAATATAATTAAAATACTGGCAACGGGCAGCCCTAACGCATGTTTACGTACCGCGCGGCTGTAGGCATTTATTTCTATCATGCGGCCGAGTTACACTACTGTATTATAATTATACCGTGCCTGTGTAAACCTCTGGTACTACTGCATTAAAGCTGCTTTAACTCAACACTTTTTGTTGTCACTTTATAATTCAGGAATGTGTACGGTTTTGGTGGCCGAGTAAGAGGCCCAACCCATAAACAGTCTTCTAGAAATCCCTTTAGGTGTAGCTGTAGTATGTCTACACATACTACAGCTACACCTAAAGGGATTTGTTACTTAGTCTTAGGGTCAAAGTTTAAATAAAAAAAAAATATCATTTCTTAAAACAATTTATTCAGTCGATCGGTAGATCATTATATATAAACTTATTTACGCGTGCACAGACCGGCCGCTCGGGACCCCGTCACACGCCACTCGCAAGTGTCTCAGTCAGCCACAATGCGGATAGTGTTGTATACACACGCGTAAAAACGAGTCTTATTTAGAGAGAGAGAGAAATGAATATGGAACACAGATCGTTCTGACAGAACGCGACGCGAGCCCAGCGTGCACACGGCGGCCACGCTGCATACACGCTGCGCCGCACGCATGCAAAACGCTACGTTCACACGCTCCAAGAATGCGCACGCCAAATATGGGGTCAACTAAGAAACTTAAAAAAAATTGACTTAAATAAAATATAATTTTAAAGTATGTTCATTTATTTATTATATATTACTGTAATCCCCTAAATAGCTCCTTTTGGAGCCCCATATGCATCTGGCATTCTTTCTATAGTGTACTTATGTTCAGCGACATACATGATTGGAACTCCAGGTATCTTCCTTATTCTTCTTTTTAAGTCTTTATCATTTGTGGCAACTATATAACTTTTGTGTTGTGTAACTCTTTGAACTATACAATCATCTGCATAGGTGCCTTTATGAAGACAAGTGATTCTTTCAAAACGTGGGTCTTTTATTATTCTTAATGCTACACGATATTTTCGACCCAATTTTTCCAATTCAGCTAATACACAATCAGTTATATAAGGAATACATTTAGCATACAGACAATCCATCATACTTTGTACTATATCCAATTTGTTCTTTATCGAGAAGTTGATAAAATTTGTATCTATTAATATGTGGTAAGGAGGACCCAACTGAGTGTTGTACTGGAAGAATAATGCTGAGCTGGCTTGTGGAGCTTCACGTATTTTCAACTCATGCGGATCTATTTTTTTCTTTTTTGGCTCAATTCTGTCTTTCGGCTTGATCCTGCTGTCGCTAAGACTAATAAGTTTCTTCATTTTAGCAAATTTTCGCTCAACTATTTTTCTGGTTTTGCGCTGTTTCCCCTAAAAAAATAAGGTTAATAGTTACTTACGCTTACTTAATATTAATAGTTAGTTACACATTTTGCTTTTCTAGGCATGTGAGTACTTATACCATACTTAAACTAATAAAATCATATGGACAATGGACATACTATTTGTCTTTTTAATTATACCCTATTAGATTTATTTACTTCACAAAATAGTAATTACTCATGTGCATTTTTAATAAATCCTGAACAGCATAAAAGTCTTAGTAAACAGTCTGCCTGTATCCAAATGTGATCTTGTATGTCACTCTTCATTTTGTTAAAAATCTTACTTGTCAAGGGGTAATGCAATGCAACAGCCTTTAATAGTCCACTGATGGACATAGGCCTCTTCTTAGAAAGGAGTTTTTGGCCTACTATACCACACTGACCAGGCGGGTTTGCGTCAAGTTTTCCTTCTCTCTGCAGTGCTGTAATCCTGAGTAGTTTTGCTCCCCTAGTCGGCTCTTACAACACTGACAGGATGAATAGGGTGGTGACACTGTATTCTTAATCCGTCACCACACGGACTTTGTATCTTATAAGGACAAACAAGCAAACAGGTATCTGAGGGTAAGCCACTACCGCTAAGTATTTAACAAATTTATTTGTTTTGTACTCATCATAACACATTTTGAAATTAACTATTTCAAAATGTGTTATGATGAGTACAAAACAAATAATTTTTTATTGGTATAGTAATACTAATTGTTTGTCCAGTCCCATGATCTGATAATTTGCTTTGCTTTGACTTCCCTATCATTATTGATGATTAGATACTAGCATGCAGTTGTCGAGTATGTTGATCAAAATATAATGTTATGGTTTTGTTGATAGAGCATTTTATACTAAAGTCTCCATATGACAACTATTTTAGTTGTAAAAAGGTATGGAAACGATTCGGCTACGACTACTACAAAAGTTTATAATAAACCAACGTTTATTATAAACTTTGCTCATCAATATTTCGATTTTTTTAAGGCAAATGTTAGATAGTGAATTTAGTGTTCTTTAGATGCAAATAATTAGAATCTAGATATTTATATATAGGTTATATCCCATAGCGAATGTTAAATCACCAGTTAGGTCTTTTATTGCAAATTACAACGCCTTCTTGCCTTAGTTTACATTAAATAGTGCATGAAATAGTATGACAAACGAAATTTAACACTAATCAATTAATACTTACCATCTTTATATTGCTTGAATTACTCGAACAGTATGTGCGTTAAATAAATTACAACGTAAACAAATAAAATAAACGGAACCCGTGCTATGTGCACATTACAAACTTTACAAATTGAAATGTGAGGTTATGTTCTAGAGTTGTGTAGCTCCTGAGTAGAGTTGTGTAGCTCCTGAGTGAGTGATATAAAAGATATTACGAGTTTACGTTCGGATTGAGGAGTTTACGTTCGGATTGAAACGCGAAAGGGTGTGCGCAACTAGCGATAAAACTTATATACCTACACGAATTTAAAACCTAAAATGGTTGTTAAAAAATGCTTTAAATGTAACAAAAACATTACTAAAAGAGTGCCTGGACTGGAGTGTAGCAGATGTGAAGTGTGTGTGCATGCTGATCCTGCTTGTTCAAAACTATCCAATAAGCAGCTGAAGACCCTTAAGAACTCGCCCGGCATAGAGTGGAGCTGTGAAGATTGCCTTAGCAATATTTCTCGTAGATCATCATTTATTATTCCCGAAGACGACGATGAAGATGAGGATAGCGAACCGGATCGCAATGGAAAAACCCAAATTATCGATGCAAAAAAACTAGTTGAAGATATTAGTAGAGAAGTGAAAAAAACATTTCGTGAAGAGATGAGGAATCTGGAGAATTCACTCGATTTTCTTAGTGAGCAACTTACCAATATGGAGCAATCGCTAAAAAAACAAGACAATAAGATCAAAGAGCTCGAAAATAAGAACAGCGATCTACTAAATAAAAATAAAAACTTAGAACTGAGGGTATCTGTATTGGAACAAAGTGTAAACGATTTTGAACAAAGGACTCTCTCTAGCTCGCTGGAAATAACAGGATTACCAGAAATTCCACCTAAAGAAATAAATACAATAATTGAAACTCTTGTCACCAAACTGAATCTGGACAAAAATGGAATACAGTCAACGCAACGGATGCAAGGATCAAAGGCGAAACCAGGACCTATTCTTGTGGAACTGAAGTCAAAAAATCTGCAACAACAGTATATTGAGGCCAGCAAGGAAAAGTATCTAACCGTAGGAATGATTCTACCAGACGTCCCACAAGACAAGGCAGATGCACGTATTTTTATTAGAGAAGCGCTCACTAAACATCAGAAAACCCTCCTCTATCACGCTAAGGACCAGCTATTAAATAAATCTTGTAAATATGTATGGTGTAAAAATGGGAAGGTATGTGCTCGTAAAACCGATAACAGTAAAATATTTTATATCCGCACCATGCTTGATATCAGTCATATACATAAACAAACGGCAACTAAAACTACTGAACGAAACAAGTCATCATTATCTTCCGAAATACTATAAAAAAACATTATTTATTTTGCTTATTAAGACCGTTCTATACATATAATCAGATAATATGGATATACGAATAAACGAAATCCGTAATTGTATTTCACCTAACACTTTTTTCCAACAACTACCTACTAAAAGTTTTGTGAGTTTCTCATGTCTTCATTTCAACATTAGATCACTTATAAAAAATTTCGCTAAACTGCAAGAAGTAATACATAACTGCACTTATCCGCTAGATATAATAGTAATAACGGAGGCTGGTATACCTGACAGTATTGTTAATTTGTATAGATTGCCAGGCTATAATCTGCACTCACGACTACGAGACAATAAACGGGGAGGTGGAATTATAATCTATGTACGTAGTTATCTAAAATTCACCATTATCCAACATAAAACTAATACATTTGAAAGTCTTGTTGGGACGATCAAATTACATTCAAAATATAATATAGTCGTGTGTGCAGTTTATAGACCACCATCCTCAAACAAAAATCTGTTTGTTAGTGAACTAAGTAAACTTATTTCTAAGTTCGAATTGAAACAGAACTTATTGTTGATCGGTGACACTAATATCGACCTGAAAGCTAGATCGTCATACAGGGATGCATATATCGAAGCACTCGGCGAGCGCGGTCTTATGTGTGGCATAACAGACTACACTAGAATCGAATATAAACAAAACGTTATCACTAAATCTTGTATAGACCACATTTTTGCTCGCTTCCCCACATTATGTCCGCACTCGGCGGTGCTCGATATTGTACTGGCCGATCACAGAGGCATAATATTCGCCTGCATGGACGAATCTCCAACTGTCTCTAAGCGTATACAGGATGTACCGAAATACATGGTTGATTATGATATTTTTTATAAAACGCTTAAAAATGTAGACTGGTCGCAATCCCATTACATGGATTCAGCTGACGAAATCCTTAATTTTATATATAATTCTTTCCAAAATGCTAAAGCGGCTGCAACACATGGTAAAACTTGTAAATCATCCAGACCTATTGCGAAACGATTTAATGTTCCTTGGATAGACGCTAATGTTACCCTATTATGTAATAAACGGAATAAAATACACAATAACTGGAAAAATTGCCCAGGAGATCCAAAATTAAAATTAGAATATAATAAAATACGGAATAAAGTTAATAAAGTCATCGAAATTAAAAAGAATACATATTATTTAAAGCAAATAAGTAGCAATTTTAATAATATTAAAAAAGTGTACAGTATTGTCAACCAAATGTTGGGCAGGGTAACCTTATCTATTGATGAGGCTATCATGAAGGCATTTGACGCACAGGGACTCACGCCCAAAATTATTGCCGATAACTTCGCGCATAACTTTAATATAACAATAAAAAACATACTTCCTAATTGCAAATTAAAGTTAATACATCAAAATAATTTAAACAAATCACTAGATACCAGTATTTTATTTAAAAAAGCTACCCCAAATGATGTCCGCAAAATCATCAAAACATTAAATACTAGAAAGGCACCAGGCACAGACAATATTACGGTTGCAGACATTAAACATATAGAAAACTATGTTGCTCCAACTATTTCAGATCTAATTAATCAGAGCATTAGAACTGGTTCCTACCCTAATAAACTAAAAGAAGGTTGTGTCCGACCATTGCATAAAAAGGGAAGAAAAGATGAGTACGGAAACTATAGGCCTATTACGATACTTTCTTCAATAGACAAAATTGTGGAAAAATACGTATGTGATCAGATACATAGTTTTTATAGGAAACATTCGGTAATTACTCCTCACCAGTACGGATTTCAATCAGGTAAGAGTACAACAAGTCTATTATCAAAATTCACAGACGATATCAACACACACCTAAATGAGAAAAGACAAGTGTTAACTCTTTTCATCGACTTTTCACGTGCCTTTGATACGCTGGTACATGAACAGATAATAGACAGGCTAGACAATTGTGGGATTCGTGGTCCTTTGCTAAATTGGTGTCAAAATTACTTGAAAGATCGAACATTTTCAGTTAAAGTGAATAACGAATATAGCAAAACAGTGTCGGTTACGGAGGGAACGGCGCAGGGTTCGGTGCTTGGACCGCTGCTGTTTTTATCCTACGTCAACGATATGGGTAATTGCATTGTCAATAGTACATGCTATCAGTTCGCGGATGATACTTGCCTTGTTATTGGAAATAAAAATCCACAAGCGGCATGTGATCTTCTGCAGTCTGACCTAAATGTCCTAACAAAATGGTGTCATGATACAGGACTTGTACTAAACGCTAGCAAAACAAAATTAATGATCATCAAATCTCCGTATGTTAAACAGTTGCACATCAAAAACCTAATCGCACACGATCATAGTTGCTTACATACTAAAAGTACTACATGTTGCTGTCCACAGATTGACATAGTTGAGAAATATACATACCTTGGAATTGTAATAGATAATAAATTTCACTGGAGTCAACATATTGAGTATGTATGTACAAAATTAAGACAATTTCTAGCAAATATTACAATTCTTAACAACCGTATTCCATTTAAAGTAAAATTGCTGTTATTTAATGCACTTGCACAGTCTCACATTCAATATGGACTTAGCAGCTATGGCCGGACTTACAAAACATACCTGGACCAGATTTATAATTTACAAGTAAAGATCCTTAAAATTATTGTTTCTAATAATATAAAATCCAAATTCCAAGACAATCCCAATGGTCTTTTCAAACACTGCAAAAGTTTACCGATACATAAACAAGTACATTTTAATATATTAAAAGAACAATTTTTTAATGAATCATTGAAATCACCAATGGAACATTCTGTATACACTCGTGCTATCTCTAAGAACCGGTTGTGTACGTCACGCGCCAACAATACTTACGGCAAGCGAACCACCAACTACCTTGTACCTCGATTTATTAATAACTTGCCACATGAATTAGTTAATAGTGTAACCGACAAAAATATTAAATGTAAACTAAAGCAATACTTCCTTAACCTAATGTAGCTATTATTATTTGATTATTGTGTAGTTATGTAATGTTTTCAAAGCACACAGTACTCGTAATTAGTGTACCATATAGTGAACAAATTTTAGTATATAACTACCCTCATTCACTTACATTGTAATAAAGTGTAAACTCTCGACAGCTCAAACATAAACCTATGTGGTTTCTCCAGAAGCTGTCGTTTGGTACATTTTCTCTGTCAAGTTGTTTTATGTGATAAATAAATATAAAAAAAAAAAAAAAAAAATATATATCATTCACGACGATAAAATCTATCACTCACTCACACTTGCTCCGAATATATCAGTAACTCACTTCTAGCTCACTAGATCACTAGCTCAACGACGCCGATCTTTGTTTCATGAGCGAGTGAGACTAAAGATAAATGAGTGAGATAGATGATGGTTGAGTTCACGCAAGTTTCTTTATGCAAAATGTACATTATTTTCATAGGATCAAAGATTAAAATTACTTAAGAATTAAGCCTAACAAGTACAAGGAAAATAAAATTATGTATGATTTCTATTATAAAACCTAAAAAAAAGTACAAGAAATAATTTCTTATTTTTAATTATTATTTAAAAGGCTGTTAATAATTATTTTATCTTATCAAAATGAATAATTTTAAATTTAAAAAAAATAGGTTAAAAATGTAGTTTCAAAAACTGAATTTAGGTTTATAAGAAAATAAAGAAAGATTTGTAAGGCGAGAAAGTGATATACGAGTATACTGAGCTAAACGATCTAGATAAAGAAATGAATTAATTGAGAGACCAATCAATTGAATCGGATCAATGAGCTAGTGAGCTAAAGGAGTTAGTGAGCTAAATGAGCTAGTGAGCTAGATGAGTGATATATATCTTTAGAGCGAAATGATATGTATCAATCTTTTCAGCTCAGTGATACATTTTGCGCATCACTACTCCTGAGTGAGTGATATAAAAGATATATATCATTCACGACGATAAAATCTATCACTCACTCACACTTGCTCCGAATATATCAGTAACTCACTTCTAGCTCACTAGATCACTAGCTCAACGACGCCGATCTTTGTTTCATGAGCGAGTGAGACTAAAGATAAATGAGTGAGATAGATGATGGTTGAGTTCACGCAAGTTTCTTTATGCAAAATGTACATTATTTTCATAGGATCAAAGATTAAAATTACTTAAGAATTAAGCCTGACAAGTACAAGGAAAATAAAATTATGTATGATTTCTATTATAAAACCTAAAAAAAAGTACAAGAAATAATTTCTTATTTTTAATTATTATTTAAAAGGCTGTTAATAATTATTTTATCTTATCAAAATGAATAATTTTAAATTTAAAAAAAATAGGTTAAAAATGTAGTTTCAAAAACTGAATTTAGGTTTATAAGAAAATAAAGAAAGATTTGTAAGGCGAGAAAGTGATATACGAGTATACTGAGCTAAACGATCTAGATAAAGAAATGAATTAATTGAGAGACCAATCAATTGAATCGGATCAATGAGCTAGTGAGCTAAAGGAGTTAGTGAGCTAAATGAGCTAGTGAGCTAGATGAGTGATATATATCTTTAGAGCGAAATGATATGTATCAATCTTTTCAGCTCAGTGATACATTTTGCGCATCACTATTATGTTCGTCCGTGCGTGATGTTTATTGTCGAAACGAAACTGTCAAAACTGCTAGACCAATGACTTGTGAAAAGTAACTATTATAAAAAATCGATAATTCGTCGATTATAAATAAATATTTATATCCTTTACTCTGTTAATATTAAATAAATTTATCAATTTAAAATAAACGATACAGGGTATTTGAGCTCGTCGCCTGAGCCTCATAAATGTAATCTGAAAGTATCAATTCCAGTATAAACTATCCGATGATTATGAACGCTGAATATTTATATACTATAAGTAATGAAAAGATTCAAATTCTTGAATTAAAACAAAAATGTTTATTGAATTATAAAAATATTGAAATATTACTTAAATCATAGGAGATAAAAATAAAAATTACCTTTTCATTTTTATCTTCTATAATTCGATCTCTAGGTAAGAGTCAAAACTATGAGTACCTATACAATTATTAAAAGTAATATTTCAATATTTTTATAATTCAATAAACTTATTTAAACCTATTAATACGAGAATTTGAATATTTTTATTACTTATGGTATATTAATATTATCTGAGTTTATCTATCGATAAACTTAGCTAATATTTATATAAATTAACATCAAAAACCATATTAACAATTTATGGGAGATAGAATTGGTATATAGCTTGTAATCAGGCAATTATAGAAAATTGAACTATCAAATCATATCGTTGGGAAGAGATTCTGTTTGATGTTAATGATGTTTTTTTTTGTATGTTAGGGGGGCAGACGAGCAGATGGGTCGCCTGATTGTCATCTATTGAACAACCTAGGAAGCAAGTCACAGAGAACCTCGGCAGACCTAGGCCACCTTCTAAACTATAAGCAGCTATAGTATAGATTTGTTTCAATTTCAGGCAAGCGCGCACAGAGTACGCCATGTATACGCTATCGTCCTATTCGGGATAATTTTAGTAGGGTGAGGGTACCTCACTAAAATTATCCCGAAGCCAACGTTCATGGAGGTGTATCACTACAGGCCATTTTTCGAACCTGGTGCTTCTGCTGGTGTGAGAGAGTATTACATCCTAGCTAGCTTACAGCTAGCACTACATCCTCACAAAATTAAATGTTGCAACTAAATGCACTTTTATTTTGAACTAGCTTTTGCCTGCGATTCCACCCGCATGTATGTCGGTTATCGCGGTGAAAAGCAGCCAATCCGTATCCGTAAATCCGTAATCAAGAATACAAAAATCTCTATACCAAATTTCATTTGCATTGATTTTAGCAGTTATTGATTCCCCATATAAACTTCCACCTCCCCTCCCCTTTTTACCCCCTTAAAGGATGATTCCTGCAATAATACTATCCTATGTGCTTGCCCGGGACGCAACCTTTATCTATAACAAATTTCATCTCAATCGGTTTAGTGGTTTAAGCGTGAAGACGTAACAGACAGACAGACACAGTTTCGCATGCATAATATTAGTTTTAGTATAGATAATGGGCGATACCATGGTATTCCGGGAGAGGCTTCCACGCTGGGCACTTTACTAGACTACAGAGTGCAATAGATTTGTTAGCATTAAGCCTAGATGACTATGTTATCACCTGTATCACCCGGTAAGGTGATCCGCTTTGATAAGGTGATATTATTATTATATTCGTTAATATATTGTGTTAATACTTATGAATATTGGGCTAATACGATTAATAGTATTGCAATGAATTAATGAACACATAAAAAGCATACAACAATTTAATAGCTCCAGAACATGTCTTGCTCGTAGAGACGGCCCCTATATATTCGTACTTAAAGCAATAGAAGCATTTAAAGTTAAAGAAATATTAGATCTAAGGCACTAGCCTTTTAGCCATTTTATCTTGTCTCACAATTAAATATTATTTTATATCTATCAAATGTCAAAATAACTGGTTTTTTGTTTTAAAATTTCGAGATAGGCGTTACCTATATTTCATGAACTTAATACGAAAACCCTATCCTTATCAGGCGAGAGACAACAAAACGGGCCACCGCCAAGAAAGCCTTTATTTTATTGCCAAATAAATACCATGCGTTTTTGACACCTGTCAAGTGAACTTGAGATAGAAAACACAACGTCAGGAAAGGAGACGAAATATTTATTTTGCAAGATTTGACATTGATCAAAAATGTCTTCTCAGTTATCGGCGGTCGAACTTCTCAATTTAGGAGATGAAAATAGGGTAAAACCAGAGCTAAATAAATACTGGCCTGAAATTTTAGGCGTTACATTGGGTGTCGGGGTTGCAGCATTTGTCAATTTCCAAACAAGACGTCCTGTGTTCAGCGGTGAGTTACAATTATATAATAACAAGCGATCCGCCCTGTCTTCGCACGGGTGCAATGTAGATGCTAATAATGTGGTGTCAGTCGGGAGTAATTCATCATACTATTATTATGATAGGACTATATATGCTATACAGGACATCTTAAAATGCAATATTTATAGGCCGGCCGCTGACACCCAGGACGGACGTACGTCTCGGCGGTCGTTGAGCCTCCGCATGTTAAACCTCTATCTTCTAAAATATTTATTTTAGTGATATGTGTAAAGAGCAAGTATCATCTACATTAAATGCACAACGTATCCAACGTATTTATTTGAATAAGGGATAATAATGTATTGTTTAAAATATCTTCGTAAATCACCCATTATTTTTTTGTGATATTTAAAAGATAAAAATGGTTACTGTAGGTTATCCTTAGGAGAAACATACTGTTGCAGACTGACTATTTATGTAGATGTTTTTAAGATATAGAATTCTGTAGTACATTATTTTGGTCTATCTCATAAGGCTGGCTACAGCATGAAATCTTTAAAATTCTCGGATTCCTATAATAACATGCATGTATTATCCATATAAACCTTCTTCTTGAATCACTTTCTCTATTGGTGACAATTAAAATTTGTCACTTAGTTCAAAAGATCTAAGCATACAACACAAAAACAGGACTTTATTTTATACTATGTAAAAAAAATGTTTAAACCCATTAACTGAAATTGTAATTTATATTTATTTATAATATTTTATGGACTCCCAACGTGCCAACTCCTATTTTACCTTTATTTTGACTAAGTAGTAATTTATTTAGATAAATAATACAATAGCAGAAATGGCAAAGACTTATCTACCTAGTAGTACCTAGTGCATAGTAATATTTATTTTATTTAAAATTTCAGGCATTCAAAAATATGTTCTTAGTGTTGCTGGTATAACTGCTGTTCTAAAGTATGTACAAAACACACGAGATGATTATTTAGCTGAAAAGGATGCAGTACTTAGACATTACGTCCAATTGCATCCTGAGGATTTTCGTGAACCTGGTTCGTTTTTTATCATACTATGTATTCTGTACATAATATATTGTTTATTTGAAAAGGTACTGAAAATATTACTACATACTTAAGTGTTTGCCTGTCTTTTCTATAGAATGTCTCTGGGATATCTTAGCACAGGCAGACTATACAAAGGATACCGATGCACTTAATACTTTTTAATACATTAAATGGTATTTTCCAGAACGTAAGAAGATAGCTGACATCCTAGAACCATGGATTCCAGTCCGCTGAGTGGGCATGCAATAATTTTACTCTGTAATTAGAAAAGTAAATAACAAGCTTATGCTGGTTTTAATTAATTTATTACAGATGTAGTATTACAGATAAATGGTGTCTTCACAGATCACTAAACCTTAATTGTTTATGATTTACATGCAACCAAATTGTTGTTAATTTTTTTTTTGTAAGATGTTAAATAGATGGCGATGAAATTATCAATCTTGTTTTATTATGGTAACCCATAACTTTTACTCTGTATAGTATCATGGTCTTTATGCCTATGTAGATAGTGTTGTGCTAAGGCAGTGATATAGTCGAATCCTTCTCCGCATACAGCACAGTTATGAGCATCAAATACTTTACCAGGATATTGGTGAAAAATCTCTTTAACGCTTTTATGTTCATACGACAACAATGATGGATTACTTTCAGGTATAGCTGGCATATTTGGTTCTGGTTTTTCGTTAGTTAGATGAGGAATGAGATGGTTTACATCTTTTATGGAAATAGGGGGATCTTTGCCCACGTCTATACCTATGATGTCTATATTATTGCTGTTGTTAAAACCATCATTTAGCATTTTGGGATTTTGAGGAACTATTTGATGCTTTTTTAACTTGTGCAGTTTCTGGAACAGAAAACAATATCAGAGTTAATATTAAATTTATTTGTAGTGGTACGGTTGCGGCCAAGAAATAGTTTCGATTCCAGTTTCGGTTTTGGACAAAATTGGCCGAAACCAAAATCACCACGAGCCATAGTAATGTTGACTCAGTGTATTTGCCTTGGTAATGGCTTTGCTATGGTGAACGGACTAGCCCCGACATTGTACCAGATCGCCCTATCCATCTGTTAACTCAAACTAGAATCTTAAGTAACAGGCTTGAGAAAAGCACAAATGACTTTTTTGTACCCCAAGGTACAAAAAAAATCATTTTAGACACATAAGGAAACTAATTTACAAATGGGTTTCTTTAAAAATATTTTTTTCCATAATTTAACAAACAATCTTGCAAGTATTATACCATTTTCGAATCCTTATTAAATGCCAACTTATAAAGTTACTTGCTAAACTCGTGTGGTACATTTTTTTTTTCAGTACAGTCATTTAAAACTGGGCAAATAATTAACTTGATTGAGAAAAAAATTACATTTACTTCTGAAATGGAGCAGTTGGCTGAAGCAACAGTTTTCAGAAGCATTATTCAGGATTACACAATAAAAAGAAAATTTAAAAGAAGTTAAAGTTGTTAAGTTGTAGTAACAGAATTAAAAAAAAAACCTGTAATTTTTTAAATAGATAGCAGTTTTTTTTTATATATTTCTGTTACCTATTATCACCTGATTCCGGCTTGACGTCGACTTCTGGGACACCTGTATGGTAGGTAAATATTCAAGAAAATACTAATTTCTACGGTTTGTTAAGTATTTAGCATTATTAATAAGATTAAAACTTAATATGTTATTATTAATAGACGGGTGAAACCAACGAATACTTAATTATTTTTTTTGCAATTAATTAGATTTATGCTGGATTTATGCTTATAATTATTAGACAGATGTAACTCGATATGAACCATGAAAACTATTTTAAAACATTAAATGGATAACACATTGATGGTAGCCAAATTTTATTAAATATTAAGCTTTTTCTGTATGAATTTATTACAGACTTGCAGAAGACAACGCTTGGTGAGCTATAAAGATAAATAATTGTTCAAATATATTTTTTTATGCATTATATTACTTACATTACAATTTATTTTGTCTGAGGTTTTCTTTATCTAACTTTCAGAATGTAATAAGACATTTAGTCAACAACATTTAGTCGGTTTTCCCATTAATACGACGATTTATTCTTTAGTAGTTTTTACTTTACCTGTATATTTTTTTACTTTCTTCCATATTAGTTCAATATATTAATATTTGATACTTACTAGATCTCTAGCGTGAATGTAGGCTGCACCACATAAATCACACTTAAAGTTTTTGATGCCTCTGTGTTTGCTCATATGTCGAGTAAGTTCACTAGAAGTTATGAATGACTTGTTGCATAGATTACACACCTAAAATAGGACATGTAAATCTTATTAATGAGTGGGAGAGAGTATTCTTTATTTAATTTTACCATACCCATACCACAAATAAAATTGCAGGTGAAATCATTTACCTGTGAAAATCGGGACATATTACTAAGCACTATGTAGACAAAGGGAGCACAGCTAACAAAAAAACAGTTGCTTGGCCAGTAATAACCAGAAGAAAAGGCGACACTCTTAGACAAAAAAAAAATTGACCACCTACTGACCCGGGTGTGGTTCAAAATAAAGAGATCTAATTTTTATTATGGTAAATGATGAATATGATAGTAATTCATAATAGAAATAATGCATTTTTAAACTAACCAACTTCATTTTTTTGTCAGTACACAAGATAAATCAAAATAGAAATAAACATTTCAACTTCACAATGATTTAAAATATTATAATGGTTTTGCTGATGTCAAGCTTTCTTTAGCCGGAGGTATTGCCTCCTCTAGTTTTAATAACACTCAGTTTTTAGTGCTTGTTCATGTAGAAACAAGGCCCCGGGAGCGGCAGGTAGCGCATTGGGCGAGCTCGTGTTTACATTGGCCGCCAGGTCAAACACCTGTGTGTTTATTAACATACCCTCTACAATTTATAAATGAATGTTCAAAAACTTTTTATTATAATTTAATTTATTTTTTAATCAGACCATAATTAATTGAATGAGGGTGGCCTAATTTTTTTGGTCCACCAGTTTCAATTAAATATCTGTTATTGTATGTAAAGCTTGTATTAAAAACAACAGTTTATGAGTGCTGATAAGTAGTAAACAATAATATATTTCCGATTTATTAAAGGTACTCACATGATCCCTCTGTCCTGTATGTATTTTGAGATGTGCATGAAGATTTCCTTGAGCTGAGAATCTCTTACTGAAATCCGTCCCGATTAAATTAATTACAAAATTGATATACCTACTGCAACTTTGAGTATGTCGGACAACTTTAATACTTTACCTGCAAACTTCACATTGAAATGGTTTTTCCCCTGTGTGTATACGCACATGTATTGTAAGATTATGCTTCTGTGTGAAACGTCTTGGACAATACATACACACATATGGCTTATCACCAGTGTGGGTTCTAGAAAATGAAAGACGTTTTAAATTCATGATCAGAATTGGAGTCACATGACCTATTAGAATAGTCATCTGATGGACACAGGCCTCTCCTTAGAAAAGACGTTTTGCCATACTATACACGGCTGGCAAGACGGGTTGGTCTGTTGTCCTGCGTATTTTGCTCCCTTAGTCGACTGTTACGACACCCATGGGATGAATAGGGGTGACACTCCGTATTCTTAATCCGTCACCACACAGATAAGGGATTTTTTTGCTAGTGAGTATCCATGCCCAGATTTTCAGATTCAGAGCCCAGTATTAGTTATGACTATTGTGAAGAGTACTATCAGGCGGGCCATATGTTTGTGGAGTGTGCTTTTTTTTGCATTGTTTGCATACGTAATATGAGTACTACTAACCAGGGATGCGAAAATGTGAATCTTTTTGACTTACTGCACAAAACGCGCTATACAAAAGCCGAAGTAGTAAATCATGGCTCACCTCACATGCATTTCTAGTTGTGCTTGACATCTAAATTGTTTGTCACATTGATAGCACGCGTGAATTTGTTTAGGCTTTGGTTTAGGGCCCCGCTTTAACTTCTCTGCCTCTGCTTTCCTTTTATAATTTGTATTTCTTTTTTGCTCACTTAATTTACATTTACTGCAAAATTTAATAAGATACCATTTGTTAGTTTACCTTGATTGTAATTGACAATTTAAAGTAAAATTAACTGTAGGGCCCCTGCGTCGTACCGTAATACGTTCAATTTGCATCAAATCACAGCAGATTGTTTTTCGGCGATCTTTTTTTCGCCAGTGTAGATAGTCCTAAATAGATAGAGAAATATCGCTGTGCAGACCGGCCCTTATAGTATTTCATATATAAAAATAAATTAAGAGAAAGATTTTGTTTGTAAATATTGGTAATTGAATTTGTAAAATAAATTAGTGTATTAAAATCTTGTTTATGGTTTAAGCAGGCACCTTGCTGCTTTCTACTCAGGGGGTTCAATCCCCAAATTTATTGAAATATTTTTATTTGAGTTCACCATCTCTATATATATCTAGTTCTGGCCAAAGTATCCATCAAATGAGAAACAAGTTACTTATATTTTAGAATTGTACATAAAATTACCAAAAAAGCAAAATTTTAATGAATGTATAGTTCTCACCACTTTCTTATTATTGTAGTGTGTGTAGGCACCTGAAACATAAGAAATAAACTTATAATAATAATAATAATACTTTATTGAAAGACATTACATAGTTTTATTTTTAATATAACAAAAAACCTATTAGCTATAACTTTCAGCTAAACATAAGTTATCTTACATATTTCAATAAAGCCTTGTTCATTATCAGAATAATTAAATGATAATGACTAGAATAGAATAAACTGTGTCATAGCCATTAACACCCACATCCGAATCTTACAGTATGTATATTTAAAACTAAGGTTAGTTGCTTTTTGACCATTTTTACCATAAGTGAATAAACATGTTTTAGGTAACTATCTTCTGTAAATTTTGTTTGTGTGTATGTTAAATGTATGTCTGTGTATGTGTAATGTGTGCATTTTCATGCTATGATTATATGACTATACCTAATTTAATGAAAAAGCTTTCCTTAAAATAAAATTGAGATAATCAATGATTAAAAGCAAAAATATGTTTGTGATTACTGAAATGAAATTTAATCAATAGGAGATGGGTACTTACTATTGGATCTGTAGCAACACTTGCATCATTATACCTGAAAAGCAAAATTGACTAATTATTTTTCTGTAATTGTTTGTACTAACCTGTCATGGGACTTTAAATAAGGTGTATTTTGAGCTTATCTGCTACTCAAATCATGATAGAAGTTCTGACAATGTTTACTTCGTTATTTTCCAGTTTTAACCTTTTTATACTAATTGTTGAATTAAGACAATAATATGTATATACTTCAACTGTTACAAAGGATATAGCTGATCAATTGTTCACAAAAGAACTCTAAAATTTTTAAACACTTTCAATTGATTCAGAATAAAATGCTTAATAATAGTTAATAGGAATAGTTGGCGCTCCTCAGGAAAGGTCTTCATTCAGTAGTGGACGGCGATAAGGTGCTCACAAAGAGCTTAACATTTCTTGCAAAATAAAAAAGTTCAAACTGTTGAACAAACTGCTACAATTCTTTTCCTTCTTCAGTGAAACAGATATTTCATTTTCCTATAAAGTAGACATGACTTACGCACTGTTAGAAATTCACTGAGGAAATGTTACCGAAAATAGGTTCACTCACTTGCTAGGAATCCTCAACCCTAGATATTGTCGCAGCCTTATATCTGCACTCTCACAAGTTTGTTTGAAATGATATGCAATGCCCAGTTTGTATATACAGTTACTGCACATTTGTTCTGGTAAACCATCATCTTTACTTATCTATAAAAAACTAAATAAGCGTTAAAAAAGCAGAAAATATAAAAAAAGCTAAATAAACCTAGTAAATAGTTAATTTACCTTTATATTACAGCAATATTCTATCATATCACATAATGTTATAGTATAGTTTTTGGTAAATACTGAAGAAAGAACACCTTCTTCTAAACATATTCTACAAATTTTATTCATATTAGTGTCTTCCTTTAAGGAAGCTTTATTTATAATACTTCTAATATAATTTATTTAATGTAGTATCCCGCTAAATCAAAATAAACTTAGTTTGCTTTTTAAATTATCAATACTAGAGGGGTAGTGACGAGTCATCCAGTGTCACTATTAATTGAATCGATTGTACAAATCATTTAATAAATTGTGATGTAAAAAAATTGTAATAAATTATTTTACAAAGTAAAGAAATATAATAGATTTGAAAATTACTTTTAAATAAAATGAAATGATAGTTAATTCTGTAAGTAAATCTTTTCAGATATCTTTACAAGTCGGTTTGTTTCTCTGTTATGTATTATCATGTTTAAATCTGCTTCCAATTTTAAACCTAAATCACTAAAATTAGTGCCAATACACTTGATTCCTTCAGTCAATTCTACAACAACAATCTATTGTATAAATGTAATTTTTGTAAGTAACAATTAGTTTAAATTTATAATTTAAAGCATGTGCAAATGCTTTTTCCCACTTCTGAAGTTCTGACATATGAAATAGATTTATTTCTAAACTCAATTTAATGTAATATGATAAATGCTTGACTTGAACTATATTTAATATTGAACATAGTAGGTACTCTGTGACTATATTTTTGTAGATACAAAATTGAGTGGATGTGGGACTGTAAAAATATTTTATTCTCGGTGCAAGTTTTTACTAATCGTGGGTTAAATTGCGACCAACTTTCTGTATTCACGTCAGGTTTTTTTATTTTGCGAATCTCGTCGAACCAAAATCATTATAACATTGTATAATGATTTTGGTATCCATTCTTAACGCGAACCTGGGTGCAGAAGCGAATTAGGCAAGCATCTTATCGGCGCCCCCGCATCTCTCTATAGCGCATGGTAGGAAAGGCCGTTCGGTCTTCTTAATAAAGCTGTTATCGGATTCCTTCTATTACAAGCAGTTTACACACCGTGTTACACTCAGTACCTGAAATAGGAGGGATTCAGGAACAGCTGTTATTAAGATATCCGGACCCTCATTTTAATAGGCTCGGTCCTTGTACCGGTTCAGGAGGGGTACCTCGACGGGAGGTGGCTCTTCGACGAGCACTTGCGACAGCTCGGTCCAAAGCTGGTCAGCTGTACAGGGGAGTTGTCCGATCAATGGCGCTGGGGGGTGTCCGCGTGTGCCGGACGTCGCCTAATAGAGAATCTAACCGAAGGTGGTGCCAACGCCGTTGCGGTCAGGCGCTAGGAGGGGTCCGGACGTCCTAATAACAGCAGTTTCCGGATTCCTCCTATTACAGGCGCAGAGTGGCACACCGTGTAGTTTAAGTCGGTCCGATTCCGACACACAACCGTTAAAAAAAAAGGGTTGTCGAAACCGAATGGAGATGCTGGAGGGTCTCGATCGTGGGTTGGCTGCTTTTATTGGACAAAAGCTCCGCACCTCGGCCCCTTTCTTTCGGAGACTCTTCAGCCCAGCTTCCTGCAAGAAGTGGTTAAGGTTTTTTCCCACAACGGCTGGCCTACACATCCCAGTGGAGGGCCACCTTGGCCGATGATGATGTTCTACTCATTAGGGATGCGGAGACAGGGGCTGTTCTATGGATCCATTACAAGAACACAGAGCGGGGCGTTCGACGATCGGCGCTATGTTGCGCCTCAGGATTGTGACCGAAGAGGCAGTGACCCGTGGCGACGTACTGTGAGCGAAGTCGTTGGACTTGAAATATTGCCATATTTTGTACGGGCACTCTACTGTCACGGGGTGCCAGAGGACCTTAGGTGGATAGTGGCAGACTAGTTTTAGGAGCGTATCTGCATGTACGAGGGTTAAGATGGATATCTGAGGATGATGAATATCCCATGTCGTGAAGTGTTCCCTAGAGGTCTGGTCTTGGAACCCTTCTGTGGAACGTACGACTGGGTCGTTGAAGAGACTTCCCAATGGGCTGGGCGTAATTTGTTATGCCGATAAAACCTTGGTACACCTGAAGGGCGAACTTTCAGGAGGCAGCGCGGTTGGCCACAGGGGTATCTCTCTGGTCGTCAAGCACATATTTTTTTCTTTTTGCCAAATTTGGTTGGACCCAGCGTAGCGACAAGACGGTTGTACACAGGGGTTGTCCGGTCAATGGCACTGTACGGGCCATGGCCGTTACCGACAGATGTTTCATCACTGTCGCATCCTTCTGCGAAGATTCATCGTGCGGAAAGAGGCGGCGAAAAGAATACGGGAGGAAGATTTTTACAAGGATCCAATCCAAAGGAATTTAGTCAAAGTTACTAATTTAAATTATAGACATATTTTAAAACATATTCACAAAGGCATATTTCAGCAGATACCTCATCGAGCCCTCGATGAGGTATCTGCTGAAATGCTGGTACGTGACGGCGACATCATCCAAGGAGGCAGCGCGGAGCACCCACCCCTAAGGAACCCCGCACGACATTTCACGCCTACCGAGACTGGTCCTAGTTTAGTAGATAGATGAAGGCTCTGGACCCCTCCTAGCGCCTGCTCTTTAAAAGCGCCTTACGGCCTCCTATGGGAGAGTTCTGCCACCTACCTCTGGGGGTGCTAGAGGCGCGCCTTATTCTTCGCGGTCTAAACTTCTGACGACACCGGTGAACCATATAGAGCCATTCACTGGACAACTCTGGTCTATTACTCTCAACTTCAGCTGCAGTTGTAGCAACAGTTTTTTTGTGTACACGCACTAGCTTCAATCTTTGTAGCTATCAGAAATACATAGTATGGCAGCTGATAAACACCGCTGGCTTACTAAGGGTGCACGTTATCAAAAAGTGCAAGACTAACAAGAAACAGACGCCTTACAGAGATCTAGACTACATTTTGAATCTAGATATCTAGAAGACTATATTTTGAACATTTATTAAAATACATGTAAAACACCACTATGGTAAGTTAACCTCTAATTTTTTTTTTTATTAATTAATGTACATATCACTAAAGATTTATGTATTTTTTACTTATTTGCCCGTAAACGTGCCCTTTAATTAAGTAAAGTTTTATTATTTGGATGTTATGTTAGGTACTTTATTCATCAATAAAATGTAGCGATACCGATGACCGTTGCGGTCATTGACCCTTGCGGGCCTACCGATTGCAGTGTGTCTACAAATTGTGAGTTCTTGAGACAACTTTGTGGTGCTAATTACTCAATATTTTTGTACCATGTCATACTAAACTAAAATGCGGGTTGCTCATAAATTTGACTAAAGATTCTTATGTGTTAATATGGACGGCACCTACAATTTCACGGTATGTATATATAAGTTTTTTCTGGTTGTATGGTAGGTATATTGTATACCTGTACCTACCTACCTACCTACCTACGTTTTTTCAACAATACAAATTATTTCAATTACATTTTACTATTTATACCCTATACCAACCCGTCTGGCCAGCGTGGTATAGTAGGCCAAAACCTCCTTTCTAAGGAGAGCCCTATGTCCAGCAGTGGACTATTAAAGGCTGTTGATGTGATGTGATGACATTATAATACTATAATACTTTTTAAGATCAATTATGTCATACGTCTCTAAGTAAGAAAAAGTGGCCGTCAAAACATTGAACTAATATTACTACCATATAGAACTGACGCCGAGATGTAGGTTTTTGGTCGCTCAGCTAAGCTCTTAGTGATCAAACGCCGAAATTGTGACTAACATTGCAATTAAAAAATGCCAACAATTGCGTGTAAAAATCAATGGTGAAGTACGAAAGTACACGATCGATAAATTTCAATAGATACTCTTAAAACAGCGAAATTGACGATACATACTACTTTCGAACGCAGAGTACAGTAATATTACCCATAATAAGTATAAGCGAAAAGTAATGTCTAATCATTAGTAATCATAAATGGCAGATTACAACCTAACATGTAAATACCTCTTTTTTTGCACGTTTGGAAGCCCCTTCGGGCCGTTACCCACCGGGGTTTATGGTGGGCGATGTGTCGGAATTGAACCGAATAAAAACAAAAGGTTTGCCTAAAATAGGAGGGATCACGGAACAGGTGTAGTAGATAGAACATGTAGGTACCTAGGTTTCAAATGAATGGACTAAAATAAAAACGGACTACATCTAAAATAATTTCCTTTATTTCATCATATTAAAACTTAACGAAACAATAATATTGTAAACTGAATATAAAATATAGTGTAATACTTACATAATATTATATTTTTAACGACAACATTACAGTATTTTATTAAACTGGTTATATTTAGAACAAAAGATAAAAACATAACTAGGAGAATAATAATAATTAAAAAACAAAATAATTAGGTAATTGATATGTTTAGTTTAAACATTCAAGTTCAAAACTTTTAACTGAAATTCCATCGAAACAGGGATGAGTATTCATTCTCTTTTACTTTTAGAGTTTAGTCTAATAGTTAACTTTTTTATCTTCTAGGTAAAAGCACGTAAGTATTTGCAATACATTCAACGATAAACCTACTCACCTTAAAAGCTTCTAAAAGGCACAGATGGTAGATCGCTAAATATAGATGTTTAATTGAAAATCAGTCATTAGTACTCTTTGAGTCAGCATGAAAAAAACAATTAACATTGAACATAATGACACAATCTTATTAAACGTTAGCAACAGATGAAATGAGTTTAACGTAGATATCGATGCCCTTCAAGAATATGTCGGCTTTCAGAAATTCGTCATGATCGTGGAGTAGCACCGGCGTGTTATTCATTGGAGAGAAGCCCAGTGCTGGAATGCCCACATCACGTACGTATCTGCTGTCGGTGCCACCCGGGAAAATTCTGCAGTCCAGCTTCAGTTTCCTGAAACAGTGATTTGGTTTAGACTTTGCCTTTTGAACGTTGTATTAATACATGTATAAAAATTATTACTATTCAATCTAATCTCATAAACGCAAGTGTAAGTTTGTTGTTGTACTTTAAAACTCGACTAATCATCATAAAATTTTGCATAACTAGCAACCCCCTGGGGGATTTACTTGGATTTTTTGTCCACACCGATACCCTACGGGATCTGTTTGGAATTTTTATCCATTTTGATTCCCAAGGGGATTTATTCGAAAGTTTTTTTTAAATATATAAATATATTTTTTAAAGTGAAAACTTCTTTAGAGGCGTGGTACACTTTTTTTGTAATGGGTAAAAAATGTTTAACTCGCGTCAGGAGACGTGACCTGATCGAAAATTCGTAAGACAGATGGAGAGTAGACAGCCGGCGCGGCGTAGGAGAGGAAGTATCCCCCCCCCCCCCCTCTTTCTACGGCGCGGCGAAAATGTATTCCTGCGCCTGCTGTTTCGTTTAGGCGGCGTAGGGCGCTTGCGCGAATGTTCGTGTGTGTTTATGTTACAGCATGCCACGCGCATCCATGGATGGTGACAGCGTCTCGATAAATTGTCATGTTTGTGTACGATAGCGCAATAAATCAATATTGGTTCTACCACATAAATGATAGTACTTTTATACTGACAATTAAAGCAATTCGTGCAAAATTATTCCCTAACCATTCCAAAATATCAAAAATGCACAACGTTAATATTCAAGTTTTCACTTCTGCTGGCACTCCCGGAGTGCAACCCGTCGTTTTTTTTTTTAATATATATATATATTTAATAAGATCCTAGTGAACGGAGTCAAAAAATTGCACAGACGTTGCTAGTTATGCAAAATTTTATGATGATTAGTCGAGTTTTAGAGACTTGAAAGTACAAACAACAAACTTACACTTGCGTCTATGGATAAAAATTCCAAACAGATGCCCGTTTGCCTCCTCTTCAACAAAAAAAAAACCTCTCACACGATAATGTATAATGATTATAAAATAATTTTTTAACTTACAATTCATCAGCAGCTGCCTTAAAAGCCACCCAGTAAGGATTGGTTGCGTCTAGTTTGGTGCACTCGACGCAAGGATTACGTTGTTCGAATTCTATGGAAATACCTTCGCCAGCTTCATTGCACCATTTGTTGATCTGTTCATAAAAAAAATGGATTCTAAGTGCATTACATACAGTGCTTTATCGTTATTATTATTTTTATAATGTTATCCTCGTTATGCAGTTTTTTATGAACGTTAAAAAAGCAAACAAGAGGTTGATACGCACACAAAACGCGTGGATCCTAATTATTAGTTAATTCATAAAATTCCTTCCTGTATATTCCGAAAGTGCACAGATTACGACAAAATGGTAGATAAAGGAATATCATACCACACGTGTAAGTTTTGTTCTAAAATGCATTATTATTACGGTTACCGCACAAATATTTTGTGCGTGCAGTATGACTATAACGTATTTTCCTTAAAATATCATTGCAAAAAAAAAAGGTAATGTAACCCTGATGTTTTATCCTTACCAATATTATAAATGGGAAAATAACTGTCAGTCTGTTACGCTTTCAAAGCTAAACCGCTGAATCGATTTTAATGAAATTTGGCATGGAGATACTTCGATTCTTAAGGAAGGACATAGACTAGGTTTTTTTTTAGCCGACACATAAGCGGCCTTTATATTGTTTCTAAGGTTAACTCGCTATAAACATATTATAAATTAATTTTCAACAAATTGACTATTATAATTATATGTTTTACCATTTTCTCAAATTCCTCATGGTTGACGGTAACAGCCAGACGGATATCAAATACTGCTGTCAATTTTTCCGGAACCACATTAGATTGCACTCCACCCTGTAATTATTTAAAAATGTAATCGAAGTTTTTATGTATAAAGCCAAAGTATCATATATAATGAAGCGATCAACGGATACAATTTATTGAAAATAAGAAAATGTAAAATAAATTATTAATATAATAAAATTTAATAAAAAATTGCACACAACAAACGTTCAACTTAGGTATATCTTAGCCCACTTACCACATTCTGATTTAGTGGACAGCTTGAAAATAAAGTAAGGCTAAATAAATAATAATTATTCTATATATTTATATATATATAAATATTTTAGGACGTGAAACTTAAGAAAATTTAACCTTTCTCTTGTAGTATTTCGTTGACTATCGGACACTTACGTATATTTGGGTTAAATTAATAGTAGTGACGTCACCAATAGTCAATTTCGGGTTGCTCTCCAATATCTTTTTCTGCTCGGTTCTCATATCCATGAACTTATCGATTATGTATCTTAGCTAAAAGTAAAGAAAATAATACTCAAAGAGACAGTACACAATGAAACAATTCTAAAAAGTACTTTATTTCATTAGACTGATTAGTAGTTAGTTTTTAGTGTTATATTTGAGTGAATAGATTTTTCCTTTCTACCTCAATCTAGCCAAATGTAATAACTGTTTCTATAAACGTTGTAGATTAATATATTCGTTCGATATAATAAATTATTTATCGGCATATGTTAAAAGATGTTATTTCATAAATTACGAGATACTTCAGCAAGCCCTCACTTAGTTCAAACTGCGCCTGCGCTCTGCCTTATTGCCTTTACCAGAATAATTGAATGAACGTTTTAAATTATATATATACATCGACAGCCAAACCCGGTAATGTCAAACGCCTTTGCAATATAGACGAGTCTAAACTTTTTTGTCAATGATTACCTGTCGTTGGACCAACGTGTGTGCTATTTATGATGACGTATGTCGGTGTTCAACCAATTAAGACCCTACCGTGCACCAAGTGACATGACCGTCACCGATAGGTCTGATGTCCTCAACGGTCCAGTAAGCACTAACCCCTGAGGGGTACAGGTTTAACTAGACGATGTCTTATGACATTTCGCCATGCAATCAATTCATTTTTCATGTTTTCTAAGTAATTTTTACCTAAATGTTGTCATTTTTTTTGCAACTATTGTGTGAAGTGCCAAAATGATTGTTGAATTTTAATTCAAAGTAAATTTTCTAAGACTGAATATACCTTTTCTCCAGCATTATTTGGAAGTAGTAGAGATCCGTGACCTGGCTGACCTGTACAGTGCACATGAATTTCTGAAATAGGAAAATAAATGCTTTAAAAACACTTTTCAAGTAACATGAATAATAATAGCAGCATAATATACCTATACTATGACCTTTTTTTTTTAATAATTAACTTCCAAAATTAAAATTCTTACTCAAACTTCGATATTCACTAGAGACAAAAGTGAACATAGTTTTGCTGTCTTTGGTACTTAATTTGAATACTTATTAACGTTCTGAATGTTCAATAACGACTTTTCAGCTTGAACCGATATAGTTCGGTAAAGATACGGTAATTTAAGTATAAATGATAGATTAACATTTGTTGTACAGTACTATCTTAAACCAATACGTTAAATCGTTTAAATCGGGTTATATATAACCCTTTCCACAGATTGGTTGTACGGTGGCAAAAAGTGTCTCGAAAAGCGCACAGTAGTGGAGTGCCAACCATCCAGGTAATGAGGATGAAAATTGTGCCTTGTGGAGCGATGGCGGATGGTGAGGTGAGGTGATATGTGAGGTTTTTTGTTTTCATAGAATACGTTACAATGTTAAAAATACTAACCATTACAATTTTCGGTTGGAAATGCAAAACTTAATCGAAAACGTAACGAGAATACGAGTGAGGTTAGTTAGAGTTAATTTGAAATCGTCCACAAAACGTACGTTTTTATTTGATCATAGTGAATACAATAGTTAAACTATTCAAATTGCAATCACGCGTTCTGAAAATGTGGCGTTACTAAATCCAAGGGTTAACGCGATTCTGGATCTAGGTAGTACAAAAAAAAAATATACTGACGCCAAATACTCCTTTCACCGTTGAACAGGATAAACTCTTCATTTGGGTTGGCCATGCCTTCATCCAAAGCAAACCCTACGTTAAGATCCTTAAATTCTTTAGTGTGAACAAACTTTGCCATGCCATCGTGACCACCAATTTCTTCGTCTGTAAATTAAAACGTGTAAAATACAAACTTCAAGAAGGCTATAGTACAAGTAAGATGTTTTAAACAGTTCATTCAAATCTTACTTTATTTGAAAACTTGATCGGACACTTTTAATGTTAAAGATATGCAGACAGGAAAATATGCAACGTAAACAGTACATCACTTTTTTAAGAGGTTCATGACAAAGCTAACAATATATGGAAAACCTGCTTTGATGTAAACTTATAAAGAAAAGAGGTAGTCTTCTCTAGGCTCAATATTAAACTTTTCCTACACGTTGCCACGAACCAGCAATGGACATCGACCTCGAAAGTCAATATTTTAAGTGCAAAAAAAGGGAGTTGAATATTTTCTAAAAGGCATTTCCAGCTTTTTATCGATTATCATAAAGAATATTATTTACTTTCACGTACAAAATACATTAATGTTCTATTTTCGATCCTTAAGCTACCTGTATTTACGGCTAAGACGCTTACCTGGTACGAAACAAACATGCAAAGTCCTCTTCAATTGGACCCCAGACTGTTGAAGTTTCCTTATGGCCTCTAGGTATTGGATACCAACACATTTCATGTCTTGGGCACCACGCGCAAAAATCTTTCCATCTTTATCAATATGTCCACTAAAAGGCGGGTGCGTCCAACTGTTCTGAAAATGTATTGTAGTAGTAAATCTCTTGCTAAGATTCATTATGTTATTATTGACGGGCCTGTTGGTCTAGTGGTTAGTGACTCTGACTTCTAAACCGGAGGTCGTGGGTTCAATTCCCACCCAGGACAAATATTGTGTGATGAGCCCGGTCATTTGTTCTGTGTCTGGGTGTAATTTATCCATAATATGTATCTATTTAAAAATATATAAGTATGTTTATCAGCAGTCTGGTTACCATAGTACAGGCTCTGCCTAGTTTGGAATCAGACGGCCGTGTGTTTGATGTGTGAGATATCGAGTCGAAAAACTGCCGACCCTTCTAAATGATTCTAGATTTCCCAATTGTGGACCCAATGTGGTCAATTTTGAATGAGACGCTCAAAAGCCCTTTTTTGTGTGAAGGTATAAATTTTATTCAGATCTGCAGGCTCCCACCACCATCGCCGCCTACACTTCTCGAATTTCTCAAAGCCCTCGGTCGGTCGATGATCGGTATTGTTACAAATGTATATAGAAATATGATTGTGGAATATTGATCGGAATTGACAAGATTGGCGTAAATTCGCAATTATCATACATTTAGGCCTTTATCAACGAAGAAATAGCAGAGGTTATAACGTGATAAAAACATTTTACTAAATTAAATTCAGTGCCACAAACACTGAACTATATCGGGCAAACAAAGGCATCGCTATCTACCTATCTTTTATGTCAAAATGTCATAAAACAAATGTAAGTCCTCTATCTATATTATAAAATTATTTAGCAAGATATGTTATTAATATGACGTTTATCATAGTTATAATATAATAACTAACTAGCCTTTGGTCCACGAATTTACTCTCAAAGATTTACTCCAAGTGATTTACTTGTTTTTTTGGTGTTCCTGAATACGTATGCATCGCAAATGTAAGATTGACTAATGTAGACAAAGTAGTACTATATTTAGTTGCACCAAACTACAGTCGTGCGCGGTAAATATTTATCGGTATTTTTATAGCTTGTAACTCGAAATCGAAAAGCAAACCTCATGCTCATGACCTTTTTAAAGATTATCTTTAAAAGAAAGAGGTACATTCAATACATTGGCCATTTCAGGGGTTTACCAAAGTACATTTCAGTTTGTTTGGGTGGTCATTAAAACTGAAAAGTTCAAAATACAAATGGCTGGCAGAAACTACAACGAGTTTATTCTTTTTTTTTAAATACTTTATGCACAAATTTCAATTGTGCAATGACGGACTTAATGCCTAAGGCATTTCCTCCCGACTGGGTCTATCTGGGACTATCTTTGGGTGGTGGGTAAACCTACCTAGTCAGACAGACTGGATGCACTAGATATTAAGTTTATTTTAAAGAGATAATAATAGTAGGGAAGATGAACAGAAACAGTAGGATAGATATACATACGTACATACCACAATACACATACATATATACTTGCTGAGTTACATACACACAAATAATAATATATATAAAACTTTAAGGATGTGATGAATCTGCTAGGGTGTGTCAAATGTGACCTCAGACTTTTCTCTTAAATGAGAGGCGGCTGGGTGCTATCCTGATTTCCAGAGAGTAAGTTTTTAATGTAGGCATGATGTACATCGGATCTTAAAACACCTGTAAGTACCTTATGTATATAGAAAAGATAACATCAGTTATCAGCATTGCCATGTTTATGATCTTAAATGTCTTAATTTAAAGATACATATAAATAAGTATTATGCATTTAAGTACTTACTTCAAAGACAGGCACGACATCCATATGAGAATTTAACAAAATGGATGGCAATGATGGATTTTTTCCAGGCCAAGTAATGACTACTATAGGCTTGCGTGGGACTAGTTCATATACTTTGACGGCAAGGGCGAGCCCATTAGCTTGTTTTCTTAGGAATGTTATACAATCATCTGTAACATTAATAAAGTCATTTTAAAAAAGATTTCGCAATTATGTAAATGAGTTTGGATTACCATTTGTAAATAACACCTACAAAGCTCACGTTATATACATGGTCCTGTAGGATTACACGAATGCGAAAATGTTATTTTCGTCTGACTATTACAAAACATCTAGATACCGGCCGAGCATGCCAGTATCAATTGCTCACATTATTCAATTGCGCTAGTTTGTCAATCTGCGAGTGATATACTATGATGGATCCTGCTTAGGAATATTACAATGATAGGTACCTCCTAAGATATAAAAAAAACTACGGTAAACGTTCACCGCAGTATTTATGGGTGGGTTCATTGTTTTTTTATTGATCTCACCCACATTTTCCCTGCTAATTTTTCTGTACATCATATTATCAACAGTCCGAAACAAACCCTTTTTTTTTTTTTTTTTTTTACGTGTGGAAATCCCCTCGGACCGTCACCCCGCCGGGGCTCTCGTTCGGCGGGGCGGTGTGTCGGACTCGAACCGACTAAAACCACACGGTGTGCCCTCTTTGCGCTTCCAGTTTAGGAGGGGTCCAGGTAGCTATCTCCTTCTGGACCCCTCCCAGCGCCGGCCCGCTCCTGGCGCGGGCTCCGTCTCAGTGGACCCTCTCTTTAGGCGGCGTCCGGCACACGCGGACGCCGCCCCCTCGCGGCTGGCCAACTAATGCGGGTGGAGGGGAGAACCCATCCCGTCCACCCGCGGCCACACTCAGGGCGGCATGAGGCGCAGGTGAGCGCGCCTCCGCCGCCCGGTTCGCCGGCGGCGGATCAGGTCCGAGTGGAGGTCGTCCTCCCGGGCCTTCTCCGCCGCCTCCTTCTGCGAGATTACCTCCTCGCAGAAGGTTGCGACCGCGGTAAAACAACCGTCGCTACCGGCCATGGAGCGAATTACGGCCGGTAGCGAGAGATCTGCTCCGATGACTGCAGTGAGGGCCCGGCGCTGCGTCGCCCATGCGGGGCAAACCGCCAGCGTGTGCTGGGCCGAATCCTCACCGCAGTCGCAGTGGTGGCAGGCGGGACTCGATTCCCTCCTAGCGACCGAGTACAGGTACTTTCCGAAGCAACCGTGCCCGGAAAGCACCTGCGTCAGCCGGAAGGAAAGGGTCCCGTGCTGCCGCCCTGCCCACTCGGCGATGACCGGCTGGAGAGCCTCCACGGCGGCGAAGCCAGCGCGTGGAGTCTCCAGCCGGAACGACCATCTCACCATAGTGGCTCGGCGAGCGGCTTCGCGCCACTCGCGCACGTCTTCGGGCGGAGGGCGAAATCCGCTCTCCGCCCGGAAGTCAGCCACTCGCCGATAAACTTCGGCGAGCACTTCCGCCTCCAAATCCCACGGGGGTGTTCCGGCCAAGGCGCAAGCCGCCTCGGTGGACACCGTGCGGTATCCGCGTATGGCTCTGACCGCCAATATCCTCTGGGGGCGCCAGAGGCGCGCCCTATTCGGGGCGGTCAGAGCCGCCACCCACACCGGTGCACCATAAAGCGCCATGGACCGGACAACCCCCGCGTACAGCCGCCTCGTGGGAACACTGGCCCCGCCCAAATTGGGCAAAAGTTGCCCTAGGGCGGAGGCAGTGTCCACCAGCTTCGGACCAAGCTGTCGGAAGTGCTCGTCTAAGAGCCACCTACCGTCTAGGACCAGACCCAGGTACCTCATCTGGGCCCGGACCGGTACGAGGACCGAGCCGACCTCGATTGAGGCGCCGGCGGGTGGACCACGACGGGGCCCATGAAATAATAGGGCCTCCGTCTTATCCAGGGCCACCCGCAAACCCAACGCCTCAATGCGCCCGACCACCAGGGAAACTCCCGTGGCGGCCAGGCGCGCCGCCTCCTGGAAGTTAGCCCCCCGGGCCGTGAGCAAGGTGTCATCCGCGTAGCAGATTAAACCCAGCCCGGGGGGGGAGACGCCCTCGTAGGGCCCAGTCGTACCCGATGTTCCACAGGAGAGGTCCTAGGACAGACCCCTGCGGAACACCGCAGGACATGGCCCTGCGTCTCAAGACGCCATCTCGGTCCTCGTACATGACGGTTCGCTCCTCAAGATAGTCTGCCACCAGCCGCCTCAGGTACTCCGGCACTCCGTGGTAGCGGAACGCTTCCCTGATGCAGCTGAATGGCAGACTATTGAAGGCGTTGGCGATGTCCAAGGACACCGCCAACACCACTCCGCCGCAGCTCACGGCCTCCTCGGTCACGGCCCTAAGGCGCATTACGGCATCGATCGTCGAACGCCCCTCTCGGAAACCGAATTGGGCGTCCGACAGATCGGGGCCAACCTCGCAGAGGTGCCGGACGATGCGGGCAGAGAGCACCCTCTCGAAAAGTTTACCCGCCTCGTCCAGCAACACGATAGGCCTATAGGCCGCGACCGAATCGGCAGGCCGTCCCGGCTTCTGCAGCAGGACCAGCTTCCCGCATTTCCAGCGCTCAGGGAAGCGTCCGGAAGTCCGAAACAAACCCTATACCAACCCGTCTAACCAGCGTGGTATAGTAGGCCAAAACCTTATTTCTAAGGAGAGGCCTACGCATAGCAATGGACTATTACAGGCTGTTGATGATACAGGCAAGAAGCTCGTTCTTTAAAGAATTACTTTGCCTTGGTAGAGCCTTGCAAAAGACACCTAAAATTTAATAATCTAGTCTTGAATTTTTCAGGCAACAGGTCTGCTACTATAGGATGACAGAATAAGACACGTATTGCATTGGCAATACGTGTCTTATTCTTCGAAGAGTAATAAGGAAATGAATGCGAACTCAATCCCTACGATATTAACGTGGGAATAGAGTTCTCATTCCAGGTACGCCAGGATCAACATCAGTGACCCACGAACACGAGTTATGACAGTCGTTGAGTCCTAGGAAAAAATAAACTGTCTTGGAACCCGCAACGAAATTAATCAGAAGAAACTTGGAGGAGTTGGAAACATAATAAATCCACTTCCCACCTTAGCAAAGCGGGACACAAAATGGAGTGAAAATAGGTATACACATTACACCTTTTTAAACAGGGAAGCACCATGGCCACAAAGTATTATAGGCCCTAAGTAGTGTTCCCGAGGACTATAGGCTTTAGTACCATAATAGCCTTTTAGCCTTGTTTTAGTCTAGACTCGTAATTAAGGGCCTATAAAGACTTTTAGTCCTTTAGGCTAGGCCTATTCAAGACTCTTGGTTTTAGGACTTACCCTCCGAAAGGGCTATGAAGGTTTTAGTCCTCGAGGCTGTAGCTATATAAGTAACTATGACTTACTTTTTATTTTATTGTAAACTCTTTGTTCGATGTCTCTTAAATATTCTTAATTTTTCGAAATTATTTACTTTTCAGTGGATGCTCCTTCCATTGCTCTTGAATAATATTCAAATTGATTCATATTTAAAGAGTTTAATTTCAAAATGTAACAAAAAAGAAACTAAACCCTGTCTATAGGTATTTGAAGTTTAATAAACTGAAAAGTTTTAAGTTAAAACCAAAAGTACATCAGTGGAGTCAAATAAGGGCGAAAATATGGCATTTGATATTTTATTTATATCTGATACAAGTGCTCCCAGTGAACAATCGTTTTCCGAAGCAGGAGATTTGATTGATAGGAAAGGAAATCGCCCGTCTAATAAAAACATTAGATCCTTAATGCGCCTTTCATTGTTGATAAATTGTTTTCGCGTTACTTAGGTAACATTATAATTTTCTTTTCTTTTCTTAAAATAAATGCAATATAAAATAAAATTTGTTTTCATATGATGGCTTACTTAGAATGAGTCTCAAAAATGGCTTCAGCCGTTATATAAGCCTGTTGTTCAAAAAAGACTCCAGTAAAGGCTTTTATAGGCTCATATGCTTTTTTAATTGACGAGTCTTTCAAAGCCCTTTTTTAACACGCTTTTATTAGCTTCACCTGTATGTTTGTTTGTTTGTTTGTTTGTATGTAACCGACTCCTTTGAGCTCGATTTTGCCCTACTTTGAACGATCAGATTTGATTCAAACTTTGCACACCTGTCAAAGGTCGATGACAATGCAATAATCCGATCAAAATATCCGATTATCCTAATTAGATTCGCCAGGATTAATTAATTTCTTTCCGCATCCTTTGCATGCGAGTAAGAGAGACAGAGCTAGTGCGAGAACTACGCATGCGTGCAGTTCCAGACTTGCTCTTTCGGGCACTCAGTTCAGCACAACCTTTTAAAAACTAATATGGTAGTTGCGTCTTGTTCCATTAACTTACATTTATGTCCCGACAAATCTAATACGCATTCTATTATCATTTTATAATATCCTTATTATATTTATAACCGTGATTTACAGAAAAAAACAAAAAATTTAACTAAAAAATGAAAAATAAATAATAGTTTAAAAAAACTAAAATTAAAAACACGCTTTTATAGAAAATCCAACTAAAAAACAGAAAATAAAGTTTAATAAATTTGGATTAAGAATAGTGTAAATTTGATTAAGTACAGTGTAAAAAAAAAAAGAATGTACATTACAGTAAAAAAGCGTGGGGTGCATCTGAAGTGCTTTTTATGATATTATCAAAGTGATGATTTTTCTACTCATCTGACAATAAATGTTTATAACTATTGACACTATGCACCCCACGCTTTTTTAAAAATTTTATAAAATAAAAAAAATATATATATAGATATGAGAATCTAGTTGACACAAGATTCTCGTGTCTGTAGACATGACACTAGATTCTCATGTCTATAAAATACTAAATAGGTACCGCTCTAAATGTCACCTGTAAGGTATTCAGCATTAAATTGCGTTCATTGTATCAAATATTACATTCCCAGAGAGGATACGATGAGCAGACAATTATATACCTAGGTACCTACACTAACAGTTCAGTAGCTTACATATGCGTCTTATTACTACTTGTCTATTAGATTATAAATGAGAAGAACTTAAATCATAGGTTAATATTTAAATTACAAGGCAATAGAACCAATATTAGTGACGTTTACTTACCATAATTAATATTTGGTTGAACACTCGGTATTCTTAAATACTCGACGAAATTGGCAATAGCCGGATTGTTTTCATAGTTAGCTGCCATAGTACGTTTCGCTACAAGCACTGCAGTAGTAATGATTGTTGGTCACAATGTTCACAATTATTTCACATCAGACGGCGAACCGAGACCGGTCCGCGATATCAAGCTACAAGTTTACTCAGCATTACAAACACGATACGATATTTTATATCACCTTTAATATCTTTAGCTAGGTATAAATAACAAATTTGTGTTATGTGTAGGTATTTAATGTTTAATTTCTTTTTTATTATTTAAAAATATAAACCTATATAGGTACAACATCATCTCTCCTTATACACTCGTTTATCCTTTCGTAATCGCAGAATAAATAATAGTAAATTAGACACGTTATCAACGGTTTACTAACTTTTATATTTACACGCTACCTACGCGCTACGTACACTCATTGATAATTTATATAGGTAGGTACTTAGAACTGCGTTTCTTAAAAATATTGTGTGTACTGTATAATATTTCTATGTTGGTGTTTATTATTTCATGACTAGGTACTAATAACAAGACATTTCATGACATTCTATTATTGTTATGTCCATTTATAATCCGAGAAATTGTTTAAATTTTGAAAACTGCCTCACTGAGAAGTCAGAGGCAACACTCTCAGCTTGTCAGCTTATAGGTACTTAACATTTTTCCACAAAGCAGATACTCAGGTAGGCTGAATATAAATGCGGTTTTTTCTTGTATAAACTACTAATAACTATAGGTATATCACTTGACAGTTCCGTAATCTATGATTGTCAACTAGTACCTATTTTTAATAACCTAAATAAGCTTGAAGTTAGGTACCTTCCTATACTAACCTAGAATACTTAGATGTCATGTACTCATGTCTACGTCAAATATCGAATACTGTAAATTCAGTGTAGCCACACATAGAAGACGATTTTAATGGATCCTAGAACAAAAGAAGAGTAGCTCACTTTTGTTTATGGAATTATTGTTTCCTGATTTTTGGCAACTTTTCAAAAAAGCAAGTTATAATCAGAAAATATACTCACTTAACGTCCAAGAAACCATCTCCGAGTAGTTGTCGCTGAGAGGTAATTGAAGGTGATTCGAGGTTATGAACCAAGATAAATGCATTAGAAATTTGATTAGATGTAAACAGTGTAACTAGATCTGAGAAATAAATCATTGCAATTAATATGTGCAAAGTACATAGCGATAGAGTGCCAATTATCCAAGTGATAGGTATGGAAGTTTAGCCAAGTCAACTAATGCGACTGAAAGAAATATAAGATCAGTGTATACTTGGTAAAGACCACATTATTAGACGCAAAGTTGAAGTGGCAGTCGGTGATCCGACAAGAAGTTTTGATGAAATTGAAAGTTACCTAGAATTTGGAAAGGAGGAGAAATTTATTCAAATAAACAGAAGGAAAGGAATGAGTTTTGAGCTGTGCGTAATTTTGATTGACCTTTGCCAACGACGTGAACTCTTAAAACTTTTCAGTCATGTGTTTGTAGAATTTACGGTAGGGTTTAGTATCATTTTAGTAGAAAATGGGTGTCTAGCTTTAGAATCTTGTCAAAAGTGGTTATATTGTCTGTCGTAGATCTGTCACTTGTGTCAATGATTGTCAAATCATTTAAAAGCGTTGTGTTTATCAAGATTATATCTATAGAGTATACATATTACTAACTCTAAGTACCCTACAACCGTTCAGATTTGAATAACATTGAAAGACCATTCCTCAAAGATAAGAAATGGAAATTAATTACTATGAACTGACTTCAGAATTAGATCCGAGGGAGGTATTAAGATATCTTAACAATCTAGGTATTCACAACATCAGTGGAGAAGTTCTTAAATATTTCATTACAGGTTTGTATTTAAAACATATAGTTTTCTTGCCCGGTACTCTTCATATTCAGTGTGATAACTTAATTTCTTTGTCCGAAAATATTATACAGCACTTACTTTAAATAAATTGTTTGGATTTAAGCTACTTACTTTATTTTTGACACAAAGTAAGAATAATACATTTATAATCACTAACTTCAAAGAAGACGACGTCAGGGACAGGGCGAAGTGGAAGAAGTTTACAAAGAGGTGTGTGTGGGATGAATAGTAGGCAAAAGATAGAGATAATAACCAACCCATACCAACGTCTGGCAAGCGTGGTACAGGAGACCAAAAACTCCCTTCTAAGGAGAGGCCTATGTCCAGCAGTTGACTAAAGGCTGTTGATGATGATGATGAATAACCAACAAGCTTTAGACATGGCCGTCTGCTTTTAAACTAGGCGGATTACTAGATATAACTATTTTAGATAAATTACCCCTGACACAGAACATAAAACATATGTACAATTATTTCTCCTGGATGTGAATCAAAGTCAGCACTAGCTCATCAGACAGAATCACCAACCAAGTGATCGCCAGTTGTGTTGAAATGTTTAACATCTCAGTATTATTGCATATTTTTGTTATTATGACAGCAAATTATTGCAAAGAAATTTATGACTAAATTCAGGCATTTGCTAGAAAAACTATTTTAATGACATGGTTTTATATTACTACTACACAGTTTACTCTCTGTATGTCTGAAATAACAATACTCAATGATTAAATTTATTTCTATTTACAGATTTAAAGAAGTTGATAAAGTATGATCTACAACAGAAAAATTTAAATCACGAAACGGTCAGTTTGCAAGGTCCAGAGAGATTGCATAGTGCTAGCACATTTTCGTCACGAATCAGATCAAAGGTCCAAGACGGTGCACCCTTACAGTGCACAAGGGAGTGTCATAATACAAATAAAGTTACGCATGTAAGAAATATACAGTCTGCACCTAACTTAAGGAGGCAGAAGCCTGAAGAGAAACCATTGAGAAGAGCGTGTTCTTGTGTTCGTGTGGAGAAGAAACCTGGACTATTTAAGGACAAAAGTACAACAAGTACGAATAATAATTGTAAGTACTAAGTTTAATATATTATTTTAATTATACATATGTCATGTAACTACTATAATAAATGTAATAGATTATATTCATCAATTATGTTAAAAAAAATGGGGTGAGGGGTCTATGGACCCCTGGTCGAACGAAGTTCCTTTTGCTTTTTTGTCATTATTTATATATATTTTAAAATATTAGTTCAATAAACACATCCATCTATACAAATAAACAAAATTGAAGTGTGTTTGTAATTTCAAAATAATAGGTTTTTTCCATGCTCACACAGTTATTTGCACGATACCTATGCCTAAAAATAGTTAAAAAATGTCTCTGTCCGATTATGTGGATTGATTATGATAATATTTTACTACCAGGTCTATATAAGGAGTAACTTAGGCTATTTTCAAATTTCACGAACAAAGTCGTGGGTACCAGCGACTACGTCATATAATTACATTATAAATGTAAAAATGAGTTTGTTGTAATGTGTTATTAAAAGAGCCCACACTCCAGCAACAGCCAGGTCGAGTTACAGCTATACAACCTGAATTGGTAAATTTGGAAAATTGGTAAAAAAGCACATGATGTGCTTTTTTTTTTAATTTACCAATCTATTTATACAAGATATATTCTTTTCTCTATGTCCCTTCACACTAAGCTTTTCTTTTACACCCCTTTCATATACCTCCAATTTTCTCTTCTTCAATCCCAAAAAGTACCTAATTGATAGCAATAGGTTCCAAATTCAGCTGCCCAAATGTGTGTGTCTAATATAGCTCTGCCTACCTACCCTTATACAGCCATACGAGTATATATTTACTATAAAATATTCCCATTTAAATTTACTATAATTTATTGTATTCTTGACACTTATATTGCTTTTGTTACAGTAATAAAGGTAAATAAACCCCCCGTAATAAAGAAATGTGACCCAGTAACATTGTACCACTATTATACCTCATTATGGAATAAGTACAAGACAAATGTTCCTGGAGAGAATGATTGGTCTGATCTTCGATGGAGTATTCGTCAAAAAATGGCAGGCAATGTTCCTATGCAGGTTGCAAATAAGGTAACATATATTTTTTTATTTTCTAGCTGTACCCTGACATGCTTTGCTGTGGCACATTTGCATTTGGTTGCAAAAAATAGATAAAAACTATCCTCGATGTATGATATTTGAAAATTTGAGCTCAATCGCTGCAAAACTTTTTGAGTTTTTGACTTAACTGCAACTGAAACCAACTTAACATTTTTATATTGTATATCTAATAATGGGTATTAATTATTCAGTAGTTCAACTTTACTTGAGCTTGATTGTACGTTAATTTGACTGGCCTGTTAAGCCTAGTGCTCATACGAGCAAGAAATGAGACGTGGTCGCGGCGCGGATGCTTAAGTGGTTAAGTTAGTCTAGGTTTTCTTAAAGTATAAAAGACAATGCTATCACATACTGCCATTTTGGTTCATGTGTGTCCTTGTTCAAATGTGAAAATTGGGGATTTATGACCCAACACGATTGACATGGGTGAAGGAATCATCGCCATGCTTTCGCCTTGCCATACCAATGAGCGACACCCATTAAGTCTGAAGGCCAACTCTCGTAATAAAAGTTCGGTGATAATTCAGTTCCTATCAATTTTCGGTGTCACAACTGTCATAAAAGGTATTTCCATAGTAAAATATTACATTATATGTCTGCAGTTTGGTTAGCATAGTACAGGTTATAGTGAGGCCAGTAAATAAATATTATTTAAAACATTTCAGGTGCCTGAATCCCAGAGAGACAAACAGCAAACTGCTAAGTCCTGACATTCACCAAGAGTCATTAGCACAATTAATTATAAAGTCCTCCATCAATCAATTTTTGACATGTTCTTAATTGTAATTACTTAATTCTTGTTATAATATGTGATGCTGCTTATATTTATGGTTCTAACTGTACATGTAGCACAGAACACATTGGTTTGTTAAAATATCAGTCCTTCATGTATAAATCTCAGGAACTGTAAAAATAAAACTCAATAAAATAACAATTATTTTTTATAAATCTGTATTCTAATTTCTTTGACAACTACTTATTGTTCAGGTATTTCCTATTTTTATCTTTCAAAATCATAAATAATGTTAAACAAATATTCGTGAAATGATATATTTATAGGTAAGTAGATAGGAAGTAACTACTGCGATGGTAAGTGTTCTCATTTGTTAACAATTAACTTTTAAATATTATACTTGGTCCAGTTGGAATGCCCTCTGTTGTTGTCTCGTGTCTGAATGAAGGAGACGCAATATCCTTTCTTCTATTTTCTCAGCAGCTGCTATAGTTAATACAAGGGTGTCATGTTTCAACATGGAGTATACGTTTAGTCCATAGACTGGCATTATGTTAACATGCGGTAGGTTGTCCAATGCTGCAGTTATGTTTCTTGGAGCATAGTCGGTACTGGAAAAAGATAAAGTAAATTTACTTAAGCAATATGCATCATGAATTATACATTTTTATTGTAACAACAAAAACATTCAAAATGTGTAGTTTTTGTGCTTGACATATTGATGTGTATTAAGGCACTGTAAAGTTTTACATCTTGCATGCTGCTAAACATTAAAGGTTTAAATTAATACCATTTACTAAGAAAACAGCTTTCTTATCTAAACTTACATGACTCAACTTACTCAACTCACATCACTCATTACTATGTGTATATTTATTTATTTTAATGCTTAATGCATAAAAAATATACAAAGGTGGATTTAAAATGGTAATTTTATTATTATTATTTGAAATTTTATTATAATTGGTACTATAATCAAGAACTTTAACTAATTATTATTACTACAACTTACTCATCAACAATTAGCACCGAAGGGCCCCAATTTCTTTTCTCAATAAGCTCTTCAAGATAACCTGGCTCATCAGTGGGAAGTTCTAGATCTTTGACAACATGTAGATCGTCTTGAGCTAGTTTAGCAGATATAGTAGTTGTAAGACCAAGTATTCTTGTGTAGAAAGGTAACATAAAGAAGTGCGACTTTCCCGAACGTGGGCCGTGGACTACGCCACCGCCACGGAATAGTGGAGATCGAATTGATCCATGGCGAGCACGGCCCAAACCTTTCTGTGGCCACGGCTTTCTACCTCCACCTCGCACTTCAGCTCTAGTCTTTGTGTGAGCCCATGAGACCCATCTTACTTTCCGTTGCCAAATCACGTTTTGATGCATGATGTCAATGCGGGGAGATGCTGCGTAAACCGATGGATGTAGTTCGAATAGCCCAAGTTTCTGTTCCTCTACGGTGTCTAAATTCTCAATCCATACTTCACGGGGTTTAGTGTACTGAGGTTGGAAAGCCCATTCTTTCCTGGTAATAGTTAAATTTGTATTCGCAGGCGTAACAGTGACATTTGAAGAATATAGTCTAAGTGGAGGTGTAATAGAAATGTGAAGCCGCTTGATAGCACTTATAAGAACTGACGTCATATTTACGTTATAGAATTTTTGAGTTAAATGATCTTACAAATAATCTGATATCATGAACGTATTTATAACCTTAAAACATCACTTCATTTATAAACAATTATTTATATAGGTATCACTGACACTTAGCTGGCTGTCAACAGTATCAGTCAACCTCGTTCAGTGTTGCTAGCAGGTAAAGAACCCTCGAATGTTTTTGGCAATGATCCTATAGTTAAACCGCCGTAAGCTTGGCCCTCCTGATGGTTTGCGGGACGCGGGGCGGGTGATGCGCTCGGCTATACATGACACGATGTACTAACTCGATATCTTCAGATTTATTTGTTTGAGATTTAATTTACACACGATGTAATAAAAATCGAATTTATTTCCATGTATTAAAATGTCAGTGTATTGTAAGTTTTCATGATTAATTGTAAAATTTAATACTGTAAAATAATTTTAATAAAATCACCTTATCAATTTAAAAATTAAGTAAAATAATAAATATTCTTTATTAGAACTTTAACAGTAGAACCTCTGTAATCCGAACTTCAAGTTTTTAAATCCTTTTGTGACGCAAGGTCGGCAGATTATCCATGTTGCAAAATAATATCGTGTGTAGAAGTCTTAAGAAAAATAACACGTACAGCCATACTTTCACGTCAGTCACTGCCGGCGGACAGCGAGTCAGCGACGCACTAGCTAATTGGTTGAATGCACCCCCGCCCCGCGTCCCCCAAACCATCAGGAGGGCCAAGCTTACGGCGGTTTAACTATAACGATGCGATGGTTCAGTTCAGTTACGTTTTTGTTGCACACAAAGTATAAAGTATAGTCATACTCATGTGAATTAATAAAAATTTAAACTAATAACACTCTTTTCTTTTACTTTTGGAGTTAAAACTTAATAAAGATGTTAAGACTTTATGAAACCAAATTAATGAATACTAGTGAATCATTGTAAATTAATATATTTATGGCTTATTTAACGAAGCTTTTTTTATTCACTTTGCAAAATTTTAATCCTCATTTTAATGACAACTCAACTCCACGAACAGTATTAAGATATATTTTACGGTAGGTATTCGTTTGAACCACAAACCCTCTTTACATCGTTGAACAGTGGTGTGACACACAACTTGACAGTTAACCTATAAAAACCAGAGATGATCATGTTCACAAACAAACGTAGTCTAGGAAGTCTCAGACTTCTTAAACTATTTCAAACCCAGCTGGCTCTTATCAAAGAGGTCAAATACTTAGGAGTAATACTAGACAGTACACTCTTGTGGAATAGGCACCTCTAAGAGAAACTAGACAAAGCCTGCATTATCTTCTGCCAATGCAAATTCATACGACCAATAATCACGTACGGTGCCGTTGTCTGGTGGCAGAGAACAGAGCTAAGCACCGTCATAAATAGATTGCAGCAATTCCAGCGACTCGCAAGCGGTCACTGGCTGTATGCGCTGTGACTTGTTCATACAGCAGGAGGCAGCCTTAGCGATCATTAGACTCAAATACCTGGGCCTGGAGCACAAAGGCGATTGATCGCTAATTCAAATTATGGGATCAATTAGGAGAATATGAACCACTATTAGCAACCCCGTGCTATAGGATCCCAAAACACCATATCTTTACAAAGATATACCATATTCGGACAAGACAGATACCCATCCACACTCCTGCCATTGCCTTTTAACCAATTTCGATCCTGGGTTAGACAGCGTTCTTGTGAAGCGCACAACTGAAGGTGGAAAAACTCACCCGGCTGCAGACAGCCCAAAACTGGTGCTGACCGAAGTCTCAACACGACTTACTTGCAGACTGATCAGTCGTAGTAGACTACGAGTTTAAATATGCTGCAAGCTGATCTCCTTTGTATTTATACTCCCTAGTGTCCCTGTATATGGCAAATTCCATCAAGCGATGGAATTTGCCATATACAGGGACACTCTCGAAAGCAAAATTTTATAAATTCGATTATAAAATCGTGGCTGTGAGTTCGTAGATCCATTGTAATAAAAAAAAGACTCAGACGGAGCAGGTTCCTCTTCTAGCGCCGTCGCCGGCAACTGACGGCTCGGCTCGCCGGCCGTGATCGACACGCGGTTTTGCATGGCTAGCCTAGTAAAAAATATAGCAAACATGACGAGCCGCGAGGCAGGGTATTTAAAACCGCGGTTTTGCAATGATACACCTGCGTGCTTTACCGACGAGCTATAAAACCGCGGTTTTACTCGCTCGTCGATCAGGGGCTTTGTAAGTAATGATAACTGGCAGTTTCGTTACTCATTTGACGTGATATTAATCGAAATAATCAGCTTAGCTAAAAAGGGTTTTATCTGTTTCGGCTTAGGCAGCGCATTTATTCAATATTGCTTGTTAAATTACAGAAGTATTAGGCATTTGTAAGTGCATTCAACAAGTTTTAAAAAGTTAATAACGTGATATATTGACGTCAATCGCTCGCAAAACAAACATTCTGTCACCTCGTAAAGGAACAAATCGTAATACACTTTACATTTTTATTTTACATACGATCGGTCAATCTTGCTTTCATAGTAAAAGCTCAGTTTAGTTTAAAACTAGATGCCGTTGTGTGTCAATGTCCGAAATAAATAAAATAAATACCACAATGAAAAATAATTTGGCGTTTTCAAAGTCAACGAAGCACAGCAGAATATTAGTTAGCATGTCCCTGCATTTCTGAACGAGAAAGTTACCAGCAAGTGCAGTATAATTTTATAATTAAATTTAAATTATTGTTATTACATTACTCCTAATTAAAACGTAAAGCTTAGAATTATCATGTTAGAGACGAAATAATTGTTTGATATATAGATTTATCTGTAATAAGATCTGCGAATTGTTGATAAGACATCGATCTATGTCCACCACCCCCAGCCGACATTAACCAATGGCACAAATTGAAAGTGCAGATTTGTGGCAATTTTCTCTCGAAGGGGCATTAATTACACTACGGCGTGCCGAGAGCAAGGAGTTCGTTTGGATCACTATATAGCACGATTACATCGCCCGATCTCAATTTCAATTTCATCTTGCCGATTTGGCTCTGAATTAGAAGCAATTTATTTTCATTCGTAACGTTCTCTCTCCGCCGTCATGGAAGGTAAATGTTAAGGCTTGCACAGATTTATCGCTTTTCATGTGAAACTTGACGACTCCATTGTTAGAATAGACAGCAGTATTACTCTCTGAAACTATAGCTTTAATCCAACTGCCACGTCTTTTAATTTTGAACAGGTCCCTAAGCCGTTGCGAGAATAGTTCCGGCAGACATGTCTATTCAATACCTATTAATTATTACCATTACCAATATTTTCTTTTCCTTATCATTAGTTTAAAGTGTAATTTTTACTAATTAATTCGGGTACCTAAAGGCCGTGAAAGAATGAGACAAATTAGCTTGTATTAATGTGATTTTTATTTGATTTTGTCGGGTGTTCATCGTTACACATAAACTGTATAGTTATGTACTATAATATAATTAATGAAAGTTATAAAATGTTCTCCATATATCTTCCTCCTTCCTGTACATATTTTTTTTGCATTACGTCGCCATTTTACTGCGTCACCGTCATAAAACTGCCCCTAATTTTAGTGTAGCATAACTTTGGTGACATTAAAAACCCGTTTTGTATGTATGTATATTTTTATATTTGAAAATTCTTTTTTATGAATTCAAACCTCAGGTTTTTTTTTATATTATATTATTTCTTTGCTTAATAATTAACAATCCCGTGATGATCTGAATCTTATTTAGATATGTTTAGACAAACATTGAACTAGTTATCAATGTTATGAAGATTTTCATTAAAACGATAACGTTAGTGCAAATATTTATTATGCACTCTAAAATAGTTCCACGTGTTTGTCGAGATAGTAGAGATGTATCTGCAACATGTGAATCCAATCCATTTGATCTATATTGGTCTATTAACATCGGAGTGAATTTCTAGTGCGACTAACAAGATATACTTATAGTGATTCCTAGTAGTGAGTGTTTGTAAATAAAGTGAAATAAAGTAATTAACCGACAATATTTATTATTTATATACACAGCTCGTAACAATATTATTAACAAGAATTTTTTTGTGAGGGCGCGTGTAACTGATAAGTCCAGACTTGTTAGGTCGTACTTCTAGGTTTACCTAAGGAGCGAAATAAAACACAAGCGTAACGATAAAAATGTAATTCCAAGTGAGATTAGCGGTAGCGTAATAATCGGGCTATTTGAAAATTATTACAACTACCGCCGTATTATACATACATCACAGTAACTAGATAATAATATAATTGAAAAATAAACTGAAGCCATTTAAAAAACATTAATTTTCGAAATTGATTTAATCCTAATTTTAACCACATATATTTTTCTATGAAACACTTATTTTAGAGTTTAGGGCCATTTAGTATCGTACCTATGGATGTAAGGCCAGTTTAAAACCAATTAAACCGATCCGTTTAAAACTAAAAAAAAACGTTTAACATGTTTTTATTTTAGATTTAAAACGGTTGGTGTTCATGACTATGTTTTTGTTAATTATAACTACATTTTCTTGATTTTACCGAGGTAGGGATATGACGGAGTACCTATAAACTGTGTAAAGATTTTTTATATGTGTGGTATACTGATATTGATATACTTAGCGGGTTTAGTTCTAGTCCCCGACCAAGCGTAGGTATTATAAAAATTCTATTGATAAGTAAAAAACTGTGTTAGTAAATTCCCATTTTTTTATGGTTCTCAAACGATAGTTTTAAACCGTTTAAAACGATTTCTTTGGGTTTAAAACGGCAACATTTTGTTTAAAACGTTTTAAATCGGTAGTTTTAATCGTACCCTCGAGGTCGTATACAACGTTGCCTCCGTAAAAGATAGTAGATGTTTACACAGACTGCTTGACTACCAGATTATCAATTATCACGCTTGTGTATGCATCTGATGCAAAAGGTAGTTCTCCTCGATACGGCTCGTATAGTTTTATCTCGACATT